GGCTGCCCAGAGCCACATCTAGCCTGGCCTTGAATGCCTCCAGGGATGGGGCATCCACAGCTCCTTGGCAACCTGTTCCAGCGCCTCACCACCCTCTGGGTGTGAAGCACTTCCTCCTAAAATAGAGGAAGTCTTTCACGCAGAATCTCTCACCCCTCTCCACTTCTTACACAGCTACAGTTGTACTCAAAAATAATTAAGACTGTGCACGCGGATTAGTACTTATTAAAAAAAAAGATCTGATTAAGATTGAGGTGGGGAAGTGGAACACTATGGAGAAGTAACTAAAAGCATACGTAACTCTGAGCACCACTTAGAAGGGTTTACTGGTAGTAAAAGTCGGACTGTGGGATTCCTTTATTTTTATTTTCCTAAATCAACTCATTGAAATAAGGACGTTCCAAGTGTCATGTAATATTTTTATTGCAACAAGGCTCAGAAACTACAAGCTCAGACTCCATTTTCCCAGCTTCTGTAAAACACAAAGCAAAAAGACCACCTGAGCACCAAGAAGCTGTGAGCAGCACTGCAAGCCTCAGCCTCCATCAAAACTCAACACAAAGTATTTAACAACCACAGTCAGCTTCTCTCCACATTTAAAAGGTAACAAAAAAAGCAAGACCTGGATTTATCAAAGCACCATGCTTGAGTTTAACCCTATTATCCTAGGAACTGCTGGTATTTATGCATGGGACACACACATGATCCAGACCATCCAGTAACAGAAGTGTTAACAGGAAAGAAACCAAATGGGAGCAATGGTCAAATTATGAAGCACAGTTAGGAGATAAAAACCAAAAAATGCAGCTGCCTACAACTAAAGAGCACTGCTCACTAAGTCACACAGTCTGGGGAAAGCATCATCGTCCCTCCTCCTCTCCAGGCATGCACAGAACCACTGCACAGCGCATTTCCACGTGGGTTTTGGTAAGGGTGGAGGCAAGTCTGTGTACCTGAGAACAGCTCTGAACTATTCTAATGAAACATTAAGCTTCTGTGTTAAATACTGAAACTACAGAGATCACTGCACTGTAAGCCCTGCAGTCAGACATCCCATCACCTGAGCAGAGGGCCGCCTCGCTCCTCTCCAAGTCACCCCAAAAACCATCATGAATTTCATTCAAGATACAGCAACCCAGAAGAGTTTTGTTCAAACAGTCATTAAATTTTAGCATGGTTGAGCCTTTGCTGTTGGGGCTTTTCTGAACAAATGTTTGGGAAACACAGGCAGTGCTGTAGAGCCACAGCGCACTTCTCAACCCATTCGATGTTCATCGAGTAACTGCAACTGAACTTCTGGCAGGAACAAGGATACCAGAGAGACCTCTTAGTGCAGAATGCTCATGCGGCCACTGTAGTCTAAATAAATGCATACAAGCACTGAGCATACAGAAATTTTACTGAGAGTACATTCGGCTTCTACAGTTTCTGTGAAGAGCTGCTATAAAGGGAACCACAGATACCTTAATGGCAAAGTCATTCAACAGGCAGCAGTAGGCAGTTTTTTTTCTTCCTTTTCAGAGCCCTTTTTCACTATTAGCATCTTCCAGAAGCAAGACATAGTGCTCAGCACATAATTACCTCACTAGTCCATTGCCATGTCATTTCTTATATCACATAAACCCACACATCCCCATTTTCTCCTTAAAAAATGGAGACAGCGAGTGGTTTAGGTAATTACAGCTGTCATGGTGGGTCTGACAAATCGTTCCTCTGCTCAATATATGCTTCAGGCCACTGGGAAGGCTGTCAAACAATGACATCAGAGTCTGCATTACAACTGGCAAAACGCAACTCCGCTTCTTTTCAAATCTAACTCGGATGGTTTACAGCCACTTCTTTTCCTATTCCACGGTTGAAAACAAGAGTGAAATGACAAACGGGTCATAATTCAATCCAGATAAAATGGGGATGGATAACGGCTGTTAAATGAAGGAGCTTGAACCAAAGAGACACACATCCCTGCCTTGCTAACGAAGTTTCCTCATTATTCATCATCAGTGGGATTTGTAATCTTGAGTCATTTCCTAAACCCCCGAGCTGTAAGGGATGAGCAGGAGGAACAGCTGCCTGCCCTCCTCAGTGCCCAGGTGACCATCATCACCACTCCCTGGGCACGAGCCATCCCACACGGACAGCAGACTGCTGCATCACACACACCACCAGCTGCCCTCCTGCTCACCCACCGCAGCCCATGGACCACCTCCAGCGTGATTCTAAGCTGCTTTTTCTCTCTTCTAATCCTTACCTCTTATGTGATCTCAACTCCAGCTTGAGTACGAAACAGCCAGGAACTCAGTATAAACTCCACTACCTGCCCTGAGCAGTGGTTCCAAATGCATGGGGCTTCGGCAGCTGGACGGCGGCAGCAGCACCCAGAGGCAGCTGAGGCTGTGATATTTCCAGTAAAGAGTTCTGTGATTGAGGCCAGCAATTGCATGAGGAACCTGGTTTTCCCACTCCCACATAACAAATCTTCTGTTTATTCCCTTACTGCAGCCAGGTGACAAGGAGGAGCTGCATGCAATTTGCCCTGAAAACTGTATAAAAACACCATGTAGGAAAAAGCTCAGGTATTTATTCCTAGTATGCGCTGGAAACGAACACATCTTTTTAATAACTGGTATTTGTTACAGTTTGATTAAAAATAAAAAACAGTAATTGCTTTCAGGATACTTGCTGAGCACAGCCCTCCTTCAGGACTCTCTTTTCAGTGTTTGTTCTTTAATTACTTTTAATTTCCTTCTCAGAGAGGTCTGACAAAGTATTAATGACAGGAAAAAAAACAGTCAATTAAAAATTACTGTTCTGCAGCAAAATATACTTACCAAATGTGAGGGTGTTAAAGCAGTACAGTAGGTTAGCACTTAAATAAACCCTTACTTTCATATTTTGCTTTCAATCAGAAAGCAAAGCAGTACTGCCTGTCCTGAACTGTGCTCATCACGTCCATTTCGTAGGTATTTTGGACTCTTAGCCACTAATGATCTCAATGCAGTCCAGAGCCACCTGGAAAGCAGGTAAAACAAAGGAGGGGGGGGAATATAAGCTGCTTAAGTAAGGTTACATGAATTGGGGTTTGGTGGAGTAAATACCTCTGGAATCCCCATTCAAGTGAAACTATTTATTCTGTTAGCAAATAGAATTAGGAAATGAGTTTATGCAACAAGCAGCTACTGCAGCCTGAGCACTACAGATAGCACAACCACCAACTCCTGGCCTAAGGAAGATCCCACGCCTTTCACAAGGATTTCCCATTTCAAAATGCACTTTTTTGGGGCTGATATCTGATTGTGTCCTCACATCACCGACCTCAAAACCTGCACTGGGTACCCAGCTAACCCTGCTCCTCCTGCTGACCGCCTCAGTGGCTCAACTGTGCCAACACCTCCTTCCAGGCAAGCCTGTTGGTTCTGCTAAGGCTTGGGGCTACGCTGGGTGCCACTGTTAGCAGCGTAGTTGCATAAATGAGGGATGCGATTTGCTGCCACATCTTGAAGATGGAGGCAGTAACAGCAACGTGCAATTATTTTTGTTACTGCAGGAATGGGAATGAGCTGTACCAGTACAACATGATTCATGCCAGAGAAGCGTCTATTCTGGCACATAAAACAGATTAAGATTTGAATATATATTCTTTCACCTTCATTTTTACAGCTGTGAAGCAATTCCATTGATTTTTCGGGGAACATCAAACGTGCCTCAAGTGTTTGTGGCACAGCATGCAAGAAGGCACCAAGTCTCCAGTCTAAGCTCCAGTGGGTTATTTTAGGTGTTTATTACACCTAACACACATCTATGCTTGTTACAGTGCTACTTGTGGCTACCACCACGTAGCTGCGAGTTTCACAACACAAAGAAATCAACACTGAAAAAGGTGTGGACTAAACCTGTACCTGAGCACCCAGCTGACAACTGAGGATAAGAAACGCCTGTGTGGAGTTTATTCACTGCCTCAGCCTTTTCCAAAGCAAAAAAGTCATTGAATAAACAGCACTGACAAAAAAAAAGACAACAGTAATAAAGTACACAACGTAGTTATCCACAGTGGCGTCAAAAGCTGACAATTCAAAGATGTCCCCCCTCATTTAACAAGCTTTGCTTCTTACAACTTAGGAGCAGTTGTTGCTCTTGGTAAGGCTCACTGTGATAACAAGCAGACAAAAGCGTACGGCATGCACTGCTGCTTATTAGAATTTAATGCTTCTTGAACAACGACAATGCAAATATTCATCACAATAGATGGGAACCTTGGTGGAAACAAGAATTCCCACAAATTGTTTAAGAGTACAGTAAGTGAATGGCATTATAAACAAAAAGCCCCAATCTCCCACCAACGTATGGAGCATTCAGTGCAGATTAACCCCCTGTGCATCCATCGTGGAGATGCATTTGTGAAGAGCCCTTCAAAGCAGACAAACAGCAGTTTATACCCCAACAAGGAGCTATACGTTAAAGAGGCTCTCAAGTCAAACTCACCACGTTTGTCTCGAGGAGCTACAAACCCAAACCACGAGCAGCAGAGCGGCAGCAGGTGCTCACAGCTCTGCCTTCAGCACACCTGGCAGCCGGCAGGGCAGGGTAAGGAGCAGGAGGTGCGTACAGGTACGTGCACACACACAGAGATGTCTACACACACAGATGTCTGCACACACGTACACCAAAACAAGAAGTTGGCTGGCAAAAACCACATCCGCGAGCAGAAGGCGCCGCAAAAAGCCTCTGTAAAACTCATCCTCGGAAACACCGAATGGGAGGCAGAACGGCCCAGCCTTACGGAGGGATCCCCGCCCTGCCGCCTGCAGACCCCAACGCGCCCCGGCGGAGTGCCGAGAAGGGCGGGGAGCGGAACCGCGCGGCGCAGCGGCTCGGGAGGCGGCACGGCATCGCTGATAGCGGGCACCGGGCACCCCGTGGCCCCACCGCGCCCCTCCGCCCTCGGGGCCGGGCACGGCGCTGCGGGCGCTGCCCCTCCCGTCCCGTCCCGTCCCGTCTCTCACCGGCTCGGGTGGTGTCGCTGAGGTCGTGGTTGGCGGCGCTGGCCCGCGGGTAATCGCGCAGCTTCCTGCCGCTCAGGCTGAGCGTGCCGCTGGCCGCCGCTTCTTCCAAAGCTCGGTCTAAGGATCGGCTCCAGGAGCCGGGGCCCGCGGGACCGGCCGGAGGAGGACACGTCGCCGCGCTCCCCATCGGCATCGCGGCGGAGCCGCCCTCCGGCGCCGCCAGCACCGCGGCCGCCATTTCCCCCCTCGCAGCGCAGCCCCAGCCGCTCTCCGCCGCTCCGCTCGCGCGCCGCCGCGCAGGCGCAGGAGAACCCGCCGACTGGCGGCGAGAGCGCATGCGCGTGCCTTGACAGGGGGCGTGCGGCGCGCACGCGCGGCCGCAAGGTTCCCTCCGTCCTTTAGCCGGCACCTGGCTAACAAACGGCGGAAAGCGGCCATAGCTTTGGGTTTTTTTGTCAGTTGTTTCGGTAATCCGGTGTGCGAGGGTGCGCACCTGCCCTCGACAACGGCTGCAGCGCCGGCAGCGTGGAAAGCTCTAGTTTAGGTGCCAGGCGGTGTGGGACGCTGCTGCTCAGTGCGCCGTCAGCAGCAAAGAAAGAAAAAGGGAAAAAAAAAAGTGGATTTTTGAGCGAAGTGACAAAGTAGGAGCTGTTGTGTGCTTTCCCATGGCAGCACCAAAGCTTGAAAGGTGTTTGTAACAGACCTATCAGACCTGAGTTCTGGGTGATGGTATATGAATCCAGGAGTTGGACCTCATGGGTCCCTTCCAGCTCAGGCCATGCTGCGATTCTCTGGCTGTCAATAAATGCCAGCTACGGCACCAGAAAGCAAAGAGCTGCTCAGAACGACACTGCCACACGGCTGAAGCAGGCGGCCATACGGCTCCCGTGCTGCAGACGGTCATTGTGCTGGGAGCACTCACCAGTCAGCACCTTATCCAACGCTTCCATACAAGCAGTGCTTTGTTCCTCCACCACCAGTTAACGGCAGCATCGCTATCGCTTTAGGCCGATTTGCCACCAAGCACTCACTGCAGAAGCTTGCTGCAGCCGCTCATCGGGGTGTTCACACCCACCCTGCAGCACAAAGCAGGGATTGCACGGACTGTGCATCGGTAAGGCACATCACAGCAAAATGAGTACGCAGATAGGTTAAGGGACCTGGTGTGATAACCACACCAAACCACGGGATTTGACAGTGCTGCTGGAAAGCACATCCCTAATTCTTGTAAAGGCAAGTGAGCTTACACAGCACCACTGCAGTAAGTGATTGATTGCAGGATATGAGCAATGAGCACATGCCCTCTTTACATTACTCTGCTTACTGTTACCTTCTTCATAACATTTAATAACAGTTTGATCATTTACAGCTCCTTAAGAAAGATACCAGAACATTCACAAAACCAACACGTTGCCCAAGCAGTTATAATAGCAACAAGACAGTATGAAACCTTTAACTTTATTTGGAAAAAAAAAAAAAAAAAAAAAATTAACAGCTTCAGAATAGATCAAACTTCTTCAAAAAATACCAAAAGGTACAGTGTAAAGCATCTTCTCATTAAATACAAACTGGTATTTTTTGATGCATTGCATCAATGTTTTGCATCTACGTTGATGCAAAAGGATTTTTTTTTGTTGTTGCATCCTGGCACATGGAAAATGTATACACTGAAACAGAATGAGCGACACCACATTATTTACTCAAATTCTAACAGTGAGAATTTTCAGAAAAAATCCTATCAGTAATTAAGAAAAAACCACCTTAACACCATTACGCTCGGTTTGTTTCTGCTAAGGTGTATTTGTCAACATCAAAAATAAGGGTTTAAGTACTATATAGCATCGAGGATGCATTCTGACTTAAAATTGCTGCATGATGAAAGCTCTTCTACAGTCAACACTTAAAAACGCTTTCAAACACTGAAGTCTCCAGTAAACATGAGTGAACAACGAACTTGAGATAAAAACACAAGGAAACTGGTTTTGTAAGAAGTTCAGTGTAAACTCTTCAAGAAAAATAAAAAGAATTAAAACCACTCCAAACACCATAAATGTTGATGGATGCAGCAAGCTGACCATTCCTTCACCTGGCTGTACCTCAATTGCATTGCTGTAGAACAAGGTTCAGTCGATCAGAACCTGGGCTGGAAGCAGCTTTATCTGTATGTTCATTCTGAACAGGTCCCCCATCTTTAGGGATGATACAAACCAATACTGGCAATGACTCAGTTGTTACCATCCTGCAAATTCAGACACACAAAGCCAAGCCTCACGTAAGTGTCCACGTGCTCCTGCTTTAATGCCTCACCTACACTGCTGGACTGCGGGCTTTCTCCCAGCAACATTCCCCACCTTCAGCCAGCTTCAAGATGCCTGACCACTACTGAGCCTTACATCTCACCTCTCTTTGGTATATACAAACAGGTGCCATTGGATTGCATGCTTCTGGCCATTTGCACAAAGCAGAGAAAAGCCTTCAGGGCAAGGTTTGCAAGATAAGGATCCTGTAACTAGGGGGTAAGGAACTCTACCATACCACTGACCTTCTTGTGAACTGTTACATTTATTCCTATGAAATTACTTAAAAATGTAAGGTTATTGCCTTCAGTTTGAGGAAAAAAACAACACTTACAAAAGAAAATAGTAAGCAGTTGCTCAAGGAAAAAGATAGGAGACAAGACATACTCTATCTGCAGATGATGCTAAAGTTGCCCAGATATTTGTAGTATAAGTTGCTTTCACATTGCCTGAGCAGTATTCTTCTGAAGTGACCTGGACCACTTTTAAAGGATAAGAGTAGAATGGTCTCCATCCCGATTTAATATCACGGGTCTCAACTAACAGCTTTATTTGTGAAAAAGAGGATGCAAAACCTTAAGTCTTCAAGAAAGAAAAGAAAAAAAGTTGAACTTCAAAAGCACAAAGAAGTACAACCAATGCTCCCATGAAAAATGTTGCTACATCACTACCAAAGTATTCACGGACCGAGGCTCTGTGCCAAACTTCAGTCCAGAGGAACGTTTGTAGGCAGACCCCAACACCATAAAATGGTAGTTGTAATGAAACACTGACACAATCTTTACTTATAACAAGGTGTCAAAGAACAGATACTGAGTACTTTTAAACAAACAAAAAAAGCTTTTAACTTCATGTTTATATATTGATTGCAAGATGAACCAAAATCAGTGTTTGTCAACATCTGGGCAACAGAACCTGTTCCAACCGGGTAATGGTGTCACTTTAGCAGAACAGTTCCCACACTCTTCCCTCCTTTCAGGGCAAAATGTCTTTACTGTTCAAAGTGGAAGTAATAAAGATAGCTATTTCTGACACCACCTTAGCAAGAAGTCTGGAGAATTTCAGTGACTTATGCATTCTGCTGCCCACTTTTATCTCACTTTCTTAGACAGGTGGGATCAGTGCTCGTCCATTGGTCAGGTTAGCCCACTGTTACGAAACGGCTCCCTTTGTTCTGAGACAGCGCTGTTCTTTGTTCCTTCAGGATCCCAAAACGTTCGTTCAGTGTCATCCCTGTCTGGAAAAGAAGAAGTTGAACTTTGTTGAGCCCCTCCTGGCACCACAGCAAAGTCAAGAGCTTCCATTTCTTGGAATTCGCTCACACACATTGTCAAGACTGACAGCCTCCTCACAAAAATGTAGAAAAGTTAAACTGAGGACAGACAGACTGAAAAAAGACACTTCTACTACACCCATTTCTCCCTACAGATTCTATGCAACTTGAACAAATGCAGCTGTTTAAGCACTATAATGTAGCTTCTCTCCACTTCATCCAGTTGAGGCTGCAGACTGAAGTCCAGACCAGAAGTTCACTAACTGCTCCAATGCAGCAGCAGACTATTTTTGGCATATTGCTTGTTCACAGAAGAAACAAATCCAGACCCATGCCCTGACCCCACATAGTTTTCCTGCAGATGGCAGTAAGAAGCTGATTACAAGAACAGTCTCCTCTTGTGGTCAAGTTCTCCAGCATCCAACCCTCTGTCAGCCAGTAGGAATTCCTTCAAGGACAACACTAAGATTTCTGCATCTAATTACTTAACTTCATTAAAACAGTGAACATTTTCTCATCTTTCAAGTGTTTATGTCATCATACTTGATTTTTTTCTTTTTCCTCCTTGTTTTAAATACCCCTAGGCACACAGCAAAAGTTGCTCTATAAATTAACTTCAGGATTCCATACAGGCTATGCCACCCAATGAAGCTCATCCCTGAATTACACACAGTAGTCGATTTAAGAACACCAGGAACACTAGAAGGCTTTTAGAAACATTTAGCAATTTACATCCCATTTAAAGCACGTGGGCATGTAAGATATAAACCAGAGGAACAGGAACAGTGAGTTCAGGTACTTGCTTGAAGTTACACTGCAAGGTAGTGGAAGAACTGGAAGTGAAAACAAGAAGCAGTCACTAGTTCCCACTTTTTATCACCAGTGAGTCTAGGAAGAAAATGCTTGGCTCACCAGATTTGATCTGCATTGAAACTACATCCACACTTAAGGAATGAAACTGCATTTACCTGCTTTCCAACACTATTAATATCAAACTGCAACGGAACCCCTTTGGGAATCTTCTTCTCTTCAGATTGGTCCCTCTTCATCAGAAACGGGGGCACAGGAGTACGAGTTAATCGCAATTTCTGGGAACTGTGAGAGAAGAAGATTAGGACACAACAAACACATGTTTTATGCAATGAAGCCTGACTGCAGATGGAACTATTTTTCATCAAGCCACTTGATTAGGCTGGCTAAACAGCTGGAGAGCTCATATTCAAGAAGTCAAGCAGAACTATGAAAGTGAACCATTTGTTACTGCTATTAGAAAGCAAGCATCTCAAAAGGAAGCAATTTTATCTTGCAATGACAAACCCATTATTCATGGTTAATTATTGTCATAAATTTCTAAAATAAAAACTGGTACAGTCTTCCTTACAGACAAAATGCTACGAACACCTTGTGAATCAACAGGAACTTCAATTCCACAAAGACAAATACAGCAGTGCTTTCTTCAAACACAGTTCTCCCAGTATCGTTATTGATCAGGCAGAAACAATTACCATCACTCATCATCTAGATGCACATTCATTTTCATTCAGTCAAAGGAGCAAAATAGCCACAAACAGCCTGAAATGGAAGAGGCAGACAAGGTGAAAAATCTACCAGTTCACCACTTTTCAACTCCATTCACCACTCCAAACCCCTGACTGGGAGTTGCTTTGTGAAAGCCAGCTGTGATATTACTCAAACACAGCTCAGAAATAAGAAAGGGACACTCAGAAGTCTTCACAATAAGCTGTGGTTACCTTGAGGAAAGACTATCTGTAAGGAGCTGGCTAAATGGCTCAGGAACAGCAATTTCAGTTACACTGAGAATGTTTGAGAACTATTTTTAAAACTCACATTGGGCTTATGATTGCTCCTGGGTTCTCAATGGACACAGTCAGAATCCCTCCACTTGTGGTAGAAGTTCGCCATCTAGTTTGAAAACACAGAAATCACTTACAAAAAAAAAAAAAAATCAGAGAAATTTCAGCCAGGTTATCTCCAAGAGTTCTAAAACTCTTGCTAAAAAAGAATGTGCAAGCTTTAAAAATGTCAGTCAGTAAGACGACCACATGCAGCCTACAATCTTGGTTATTGATCCTTGTATCCATGTTATCTAAACTTATCAGGTGAACTCCAGACCCCATGCTGGCAAGGTGTACCAAAGCTGCAGTACTGACTGAAACGTTCACTTGAAGACATTCATGCTCCTTGCCACAGGTGAAGCCAAGTTAGTTTCTACTAGTTAGTAGAAAATCCAAGAGATGACATACTGCAGCTCAGTGGCATATGCTGCTTACTCAGCCTGCACTGTTACCAACACAAACTGCAAAGAGCATCTCAGGCTGTGAATGATAAGCAGTATGCATGAGTGGCAGATACTAGTCTGTTCCTCAGAAGCTACCACCTTCCCCCTCGATCCTGCAAGCACCTTATGCAAACAAACTCCTCCTGGTTAAATTGGGAGACAATTGAGGAAACAACTGAGAAAAGTAGGAGGAGGCTCACTGTCACTCAGTTGAGATGCCTACAGGTGAAAAAACAACAACAAAAAAAAACAACCAGAAAAAAAATACATTACAAAAACCAGGAGCAGAAATTGGAACTCAATGGAGAACAGCAGTACAAACAAGTAACCATACTGAAGTTTTCCAACTGGAATACTTACTGACGAGTTCTCTTTGCTGTCTGAGTATCAAGATCTTCTGTTGGCTGCACTTGGGCCTGCACCTGAAATCACATCAATACAGACACTGCATTTGCATACTGTTCCAACCATCGTTGCAGCAGCTGGAGATAGAGCAGTCAAAAAACAGAAGTTGAAAGCTGTTTGTACAAACAGGGCTTTACTTTCAGAGGGACACAAAAATATCTGTCATATTACTTTTGTAAGACACTGGAAGGAAATCACAGTAAGAACAAAACACGTTTTCAACATAACCATTACTAAAATAATCAACAGAGATGGAAACATCTTTGAGAACTCCCTTAGGAAACACTTCATCAAGTTAAAATGTTAGCCTTGTTTCTCTTGTTGTCCTGGTATCACCTGATTACATGTTACATAATATCCAAAACACCTCTTAAGTTCCACTGCTATTTTAAATGAGTTTGGTTTTGTTTTTCTCCTGATCCTGCCCATAATTCTGCAATGGAACTACTTATAGTCAAACCCACGGCAGATACAGGATGAGGACACAAATGAAAAACAAGAACACTGCTATCATTTGCTGCACTATTTTCTTGCTTGTATTCAAAATAACTATGACTAGCTTATCTGTATGCTAAGGATCTCTTAATCAGGTTCCAAAACACCACTCTATCGTTTTGCTGAAGGTAACTGTTGAAAGCTGTCATTGCATTCCAACACTTGTAGGATGAAAAGGTAATAGCTTGCAACAGTCCTGAAATGGAGAAGTTCCACACCCTTCAAACAGTTCAGCAACACCAACACAGGAAGTAAGACCCAATAGGCCACAACAACTGAAGTGGAGAAGTACATTTCCCCAGAGGAACATGTGCCTCCTTAACAGTTTCTGCTGTTCCTGAAGTTTCTACTCAGATTTGATGCTTAAACTTGATTTATTAATATCAGTGCTACAGGTTAGCTTAGAATGTTGTGGCACAATACTGTCATTTCCAGTGATGTGTTGTTACCTTCAACCCTCTTCGAAACAGGAAAGTTGCTTGACGAGTGTCTTTCTGCTGATTTAGTTTGTTTCCAATTCTGGCAAAAGCAGATGGCATGTTATTCCTGCAATATATAGAAAGGTTATTGAAGGTTTCATAGATAGACAACATTTCAGAGAGACAACTGTGAAGTACATCTGCAGAGCTGCCTCTTTGAGATAGAACATTTCAATTGTAGTAAGTTTCTCACTTCCTAAGAAGAAAACACACTTAAAAACGTAGACATTTCTGGGACTGGACATTACAGACTCACAGAACCATTTAGGTTGGAAAAAACCTTTAGGATCACCAAGTCCACCACCAAACCATTTATGCAAGCACCACAGCCACACATCTCTTAGCCTGTACTGAGGGCCACGGTTTAGTGATATATTATATGTTGATGGTAGGTGGACGGTTTGAATGGATGATCTTGGAGGTCTTTACCAACATTGGTGATTCTACGAAGTGCAGCACCCATCATTGGGAATCCTACTTCCCTGGTTATTAATTCTTCTTTATCTGCTTTATTCTCCCAGCACTTTATATGTTGCTTTTTAGATGAAAAAAAAGAAAAAGCTGTGTTGACAACTGCAAACGAAGCTGTGTTTACAGTTTCCACAATGGTCACACAGTGAAAATTCCCACTGAAACACCAGTTCAGTTGCAGTTTGTAGCAGACATAAATGAATTCTGGCTCAAATAAATCTGCAGTGGCATTCATGAAACTGAAGGTGGCACCACCTCCCACAAAAGACACAGATATTTACAAAGTTCACTCAACTGTGGTTGTACCTTTAAGCAACAGAGCCGTTTTCACACAGGCTGCCTGTGATGTAAATGAAAGGAAATACCAGGTCCTCACAAACGCAGGTACTTTCCAAGTATTCTGCCCAGCAGTAAATATCTGTCTTTGTACTAAGACCATCTCACACTCAGCTTCCAGCTCTGCCAAAGTTCAGACACATTTTAACAGTCTTGACTGCATTTCTACTCCCAGTTTTGACCATCTTCTCTTGGCCTCAGCGCAGTCACAAATGAGATTCTTTCTGGAAAGCTGTCAAGAAGAATTTGGGAAGCAAACATGGTATTTTACCTCCTGCTTAGCGGGGCAGGTCTCCTGAGGGTTGGAATTTGTTTTCTCTGCATTTCAGTTTGCCTTCGCAAGTTCGGTTTCTTTTTCAGGACGGGATAATTCCGCTGTGTGTTCTTAAAAACAAGGAAACAGAACACAGTGGGTATTTGCAATGTATACCCTAACCATCAGTTAATAAACTGGGACATGGATAGTTAACTGCACGTGCTTAAACCATCTGTTCAGGGTCACAGAAAATCAGAAGACTGAGTTGTGTACTACTGAAGATATCAGATATCTACAAAGTCTAAAATCTCTGCTCTTCCCAACTGTCAGATGTCATAACTGAGACTTCAACTTTTCTTTACAAGCTACACACACAACACACTCGGCTACGTCTATCTTTCAAAACACACTGTAACTTTTGAAATACCATCTACATTTCACGAGTCATACATTCCCCTCATTACCATGCAAAACAAAAAGCACAGCTTATCAGTTACTCTTATCTCCCCATATAACCAACAAAATACATCCTCCGTGCACCTTCACAGTTGTCATTCTGCACAAATCCAAAAGCAATCCCTGTTCCACAAATCCAGACTCTGCGAAGTAAGCAACAAAGCACTGGAGGAGTGCAGAACAGGAAGCACACAGAGGGAAGTATTTTGCAACATTCGTTTTTGTAACAGGCATATGCTTAGCACCTGCACATCTGTGGGTTCACTGGTTTCTAGCAGTGACATAAACGACAAGAAATCCTAACAAAGGAGCCTTCCTTGTGAAAGCACAGCAACTACCACTACACCTGCACAGAACACCTTTCTGCACTTGAATTTTCATGCCTTGCAATCTCATTAAGCGTTCAGAAGCTTTCAAGCTTTGTCATCACCCATCTCCTTCAAAACAAACACCACTTGGCCAAGACAGCCCCCCCTTCACAAAACACTGCATCAGATGCCTGCACGGTGTAGAACAAGCATACCGGAATATATTTCAATAGCCCATGCATTCCATTTCTAAACTGTTCTTACTTCCTGTGGAGCCAGGGTTACATGAAATGCAGTTACACAGACCATTGGAAATGCATTAATTACCTTCTCACTAAGTGGCTGCCTGTTCAGAGGACTAATTCCTTTGTGTGAACCCATTGCTTTCTTGGCTGCCAAGCCAGTTATAACTCCATAAGGACGCTTCTTCCCTACAATCTTCTTTCTGTGTCCCAAATGATTTTTACCATAACCTGCAAAAAGAAAAGTGAGGAGTTAAAAAATTCCTACTGCAGTAACAATTTTACTGTGTTAAAAATGACAGCAGGTGATGCAAGCTATTTGGCTTCAAGCTTTGGAGCAAGAAGCTGCCACTACGCCTGGAGACAGTTTGGTCAGACAGCTATTTCAGTAAGCTGGGATCTAAACCTAGACAGCATTAACCAGCCTCTTGTATAGATCTTCATTTTTCTCTCCCTCTGCATTATTTATGTTCAAAATTTGTTACGTGACACATCTGCAGGAATAATTAAGGAGTCTTTCTGGCATAGGATACTACCAAAAACTCTAAAACAGACCTTCATCAAATGCTGAACAACACAAAACCAAAGCAAGTAATTCAGCTCCCCAGCCACTCAGCAAATTTTAAATTAACAGTTTATAAAGAAAATAAGGGGGATGGGTAAGGAACAGCTTCCAATTTATTTATGTAGATTAGTTGCTCCCTAGTCACGTCTTAAGAATAAAAGACCACAGAGCCATATTAAACAGTATACAAATTACATCATGTTTAAAGTGTTTTCAATTAGAAGTTTGCATGGCAGTCTGGAAAAGACTGAGAAATGACAGCAGCCTTTAGATGTAAAAGGCTTGTGAGTCTGAGGTCTGTAGTGTAAACATCTCAAGTCTCCAGTTACAAGGATTTGGTTAACCCTGTCTGGAGCCATTTAGCTTCATGCTGTGTAAACAGACAGTGCCTCAGTTTTACCCTGAAGTCATCCCCTCCTCTAGAACCCCAGATTGTAAGATAAATTTAGGACTAAGAAGATAGCTCTACAGCAAGAGATGCATCTAAACTTGATATATGTGATGTTATGGCATTGGCAACACATCTGTGCTTCTTCACTAGACAGGAGCCACCATAGGAAGCAAAGTCATTGATCAGAATGTAGCTTGGATAAATTTGGTCTTGAGAAAATTTTATGTAGGCACAGCGAGTACAGTTAGCAAATGCTTCTCTATGAACAGAAGAGTTGAAAAACAGATATTTAAGCTGCAAGGGACCTCACAAGCTCTCTGGACCAAGCTCTGCTCAATGAAATGACAACTTCAAAGTCAGCTCAGGCTGCACAGGGTTTTGTGTGGTCGCATTCTGTATATCACCAAGGACAACTTTCAGTCACACGAACAATGTTCTTCTCTCTGTTTCTTCCCACAAGAGCTGAAAAGAGTCCCAGCTCAAGTTCTTTGCCTCCTTCCAGAGAGTTTGGCAGCCACTTTGAAAACCAGAGGGAATTGAATGCCATTGAACTTTTGTGGTCTCTGTAGCTGTCCGCTTCTCAGAGCAACTTCAATGGCAACGGAGCAGCAGTAAATCTGCTTACTGGTTACAAGTAATAACTTAAATGCTCGGAAGAAATGCTTAATGAGACCTTCTGCTCAAAAACAATATAGGAGAGATTTGCTTCAATGGAAGGAAATGGGTAGAATGGAACAGTAACTTATTCACAATGCTTCAACACATGAAAGTAGCAATTTTGGAATAAGTTTGCCATTTTCCTAGAATGAAAGCAGAAAAGGAGGGCAAGTTCCAAGAGATTAAAGTAACTGCCAAGGCAGCTGTATTCTGAATTTTGTATTTGAAGCTCACGTTCTTCCTAAAACTCTAAATTGTGACATTTGCTTCTTTTGTGCCCTTCAGATCATGAACAATCACATTTGGCAGCTGTGGTTGTAAACAAGCCTACATCTGAAAGTCCACCATTTAAACTCACTGTCACCCCACAAATATTCTTATCCTTGGCCTAAATGATGTAAAACACTTTCCTGTACTTCCAAGAATTTATCATAGGTGCACAGGTTAAGTAACACTGCTATGCTGCCCTGTCTAAAGAGAAAAACTCTGGAGCCTTGAGCTGCATAACAATGAAAACACGGGGATTACTGTGTATGCACCAGTCTGATGCGTATGTGGTTTAAATCAATGCTACTAAGCAAGAAAACTGCACATCCTAACTTAAACACGTGATTAGCTGAGGAGGTAACTTTCTGCATACAGCATCACGCAGTGTTAAAAAGGTACTTTGCAAAACTCAACAGAATTAAAAACAGACTTTATTTCTAGCAGATGACAGTCATGTATTGGACACATGGGAATCATCTTCAGAACGACTCCTGTTTACTGAAAAAACTGCAAGTTATTCAGGAAATCTCCAGTAAAGCTGTTGTTGTGCACTTTCCCCCCTCCTTACTCCCTGCCTATGTGATTCTTTCCCTGCTGTTGTAATCCTCTGTAAAAACACAGGCTGAAGAAGGCTGACACGGTACTTCCTTTGCAACCCATAGTCTTAACAAGAAAAATGGACTCACACACTCTTACTATCCATTTGTAAACCCCAGAGGCAGTGCTGCAGACTGCAGTACAGCTATTTTTGTGACTTCGAGCAGCAGAATTCTACTCAGCGTACATCAACATGCTGGCTCTTTCTCACAAAGCTCTAAGGTTTGGCAAGGCCTCTGCATTTCCTAATACAAGGGCTTCAGCATGAGCACTCTTTCTAACCATTCCTGAAGGGGGACAAAACATCAACACAATTTCTGAAGCTACATCCATATGGCAGAAGGCAAGCAGATCCTTCCTTTAACCGAGAGCGTCCATCAGGTGCCTCAGTTCTGTACTGGCCTGGCAAGTCACAGCACATTGGTTCCACCCACCTTTCTGTTGTTGGATCCCCCACTTGGAGCCTGGTGTCCTGAATTGCTGAGTTCGATTCTGCTGGAGTCCTCTCTTCATTTTGGGGGAATACTGCTTCCTCTCTTCTTTCTTGTTCAGTTTAATTATATCATCTGTAAAAAAAAAAATAGAAGAAAAAAGAAAAGAAAGATGTGACACATTTCAGACACATTTAATATCTAAAGAAAAAACCTGAGCAGATTAAAGTCATGTGAAACAAACTGGTTAATCTTGCAAAGCCAGCATGTACAAGTTAAGGTTCCAGAAATATTATCTCTATAAAACATCCAGCCCCTGTTAGTCTTACTAACTCTCTCTTTCCCCTATTACCTTACGAAACAAGCAGTTGCATACATTCAGAACATCCAAGGTACTTTTAAAATTGTGGTATTTACTCAAACAGCACATTCTAATCAAATGACCCTGTTAGGTTTTGGATACAATTAAAGAAAAGATCAACCTGCCTCATTCTCACACTTCCTAGATTTCAGCCCAAATTCCTGTTCAAGACACAGCACTCTCACCTCATGTTACTTAATAAAACCATACCAAGAAAATTGAGGCTATCTTCAAACATTCACTCAGGTTCAGATGATGGGAAAAAATATCTGCAATCCAAACAGTCACCTTATTTACTACTTACCAAACGTTAAACAATTTATTAATAGGTTTATGGAAACATTCAAGATAAACTCATGAAAACCTGACAGGTTTGTCTACAGCAAACCACAGCACAGCAGCATGATTTCATCTGCTGATCAGGTTAGCTGGCTCAGGAGACAGCAGTCAAGCAACCAGGTGCTTCGTATCCCATTGAAGTAAAGGTAAGAGAAAAACAGGTTATTTTGCTACAAAAATGAATTAAAATTTGGAAAACAGAAGAAAATTTGTTAGGAAAAGGGATGCTGGTACAACTCATTTAGGGTTGGATTTCCATAGAATCTTCTTTACCAAAGAGATTACCCCTAGAGGAAGGATCGGATGCCCCATCCCTGAGGTGTTCAAGGCCAGACTGGACGGGGCCCTGGGCAGCCTGGTCCAGTACTGAATGGGAGGTTGGTGGCCACAACTGTGGCAGGGGGATTGGAGATTCAAGATCCTTGAGGTCCCTTCCAATCCTGGCCATTCTGTGATTCTGTGAACTATCCTGTCTATATGACAAAGGAAACTAAAGCCACTCATGTTTTATACAGCTCAAAATAGCTAAAACTCACTGCCAACAGCACTACTCAAGCAGGAGCACTGCTTGAACTTCGCTCCAGTAATAACACGGTGCTGAGTCAAACATAAAACCTCCCAGCATTTCCAAGCAGTACGTGTGCTTCTTCATATCATTTAACTCCACCCCCATCAGCCATCACCACCACGCTCAGTGAGCACCAGCCCTTGCTTCACAGCTCATCTGCTCCAACTTAACTCCCATTTTTTGGGAGACAGTTAGTTGTTGGTGCACGTATGCTTGGAAGCTTTTTAAATAAAAGAACTAACTTTTCAGCTATCTTCTTCTTTGGGGAAATGAAGGATATCTGGGACGTTATGCATTTGTTAGCTAAGACCGACTGAAGTATTCTCCTATTTTGTCTGAGATAAGAGATTTAAAATTACACAGAATAACATAGGAACACTGTCATACTGGAAGCTCAGCCTCAGAGCACATAACACGCTAGCAATGAAAAGTTTAATATTGGTTAGTATATGAGAAAACCCTCAACATGAAGATCTCAAAGTTCCCCAGAATAGCATTATGTCAACTTTTTACACTGTGCCAGATGAGGGACTGCATCTTTGCCTCCAGCAAGCCACAAAACTGCAACTCAGAGGCAGGAGGCGCAGATAAAACTGTTCTCATGCCTTGCAACTGAGCAAGTCAAGGGTCACTGCCACGCAGGAGAGTTTGGTAAACACAGCGTCATCACAACAGCACAGTTCTCTGCCACCTGTTGTCAGTCAACATCCGGAATGCAGAGCAGTGGTAAATTCAAAAGAAAAAGAAGAAAATGTTCGACTTTAAAAAAATAGCTGACCAGCGAGAGCTGATGGAGTCATTCCTAATAACCTTGCTTGGGTAAAGTAGCACAGCGTGCTACTCCATAAAGAGAAATGCTGCGTGGTGCTTCACATTCAGAACCCCAACCCTCATGTCACAAACCTTCTCCACCACGGGAACGAAGAGCAACAACGGATTACCCGCAGAGCGCACACACCCGGTAAGAGGACGAACATGAGGTGACCCACAAGGGCCAAGCCGCCCGGTTTCACTTTCCGAAGCAGATCTCTCAGTTCCATCGCAGCACCCTTCGATAACAGAGCAGCCCCGGAGCACACGACAGCAGCTTTCGGTGGCACTGCCGGGCCGCACGCTTTATTTGTCCGATCGAGTCGCTCAGCCGAGCTCCAAGGAAACCCGGCGGGTTCCCAGCTTCAAACTGCTGGAAGCGCGGCCCGACCTGCCGACCCCCGCCCCGCCCTCACCCGGCGCTCGGATCAGCCGCAGCCCCCCGCGTCACCCAGCTCACCCAAGGACATGTCGATCTTCTCCAGGCTGTCGCTGCTGCCGCTTCGAGTCCCAGCAGCGGCCGAGGATCCGGACGGCAACGCCGCGGCCCCGAACGCGCTCATGGCCGCCCGCAGGACCACCGCCGCCGCCTCCCCGCGACCGCCCCCAACGGACCGCGAGCGGCAAGTGCGCATGCGCGGAGCGCGAACGGCGCGTGCGCCGCAACCCCCCTCCTAACACCGTCATCTCAGGCACGCCCACGACGCATGCGCAGCAACGGCTCCTCAGCCGCGAGAGCGAACGCCTACGCCGAGGAAAGGTGCTGCCTCTTCCACCCCTCCCGCGCGGGAATTGGCACGGCGCCCCCTGGCGGCCGGGAGGAGCAGGTACAGCGGGGCGGGGGGCGCGGGAGGCGGTTGTGGGTGCGCTGCGACGTCCCGGGCCTGTCCTCTGCCACAGGGTCCGTCCTCTGCCACGGGGCCTGCGGTGATGGCGAGGCCAGTTGGTGATGATAGCAAGGCCTTTTTTTTTTTTTTTTTTGCTTGTGTATTTCCATCCCTTGGAAATGCATTGCTGAGGGGTCAGCAGTCGCTCCGTGAGGCAGGGATCTGCCCCTTCTGTCGCTCAGTGCTGTTTCTTTCCTTCATCTGGTGGAGCTCTCTATTTAGGGACTGCAGTTACCATTGAAATTCCTACGTCTTGCTGGTTGAAACCAGTCAGCGAGTTCCAGAGCTACAAAGGAAGGAGCAGATAGGCAAAAACAATCGCGCAGGCTGGGCTTCCCTCAGAACCTGCCGATAAATGCTGAAAGGAAAATCCTTATCAGCTTCCTCCGCTCATAGCAGTCATCCCATGTCACAGCCCGAGCCTCCCGTGTGACCTTAGAGATCAGAGAAATGCAGTATCCAAAGTGCTATAGGTTACTTGATCAGGGCCTCGTTCCATCAGCGTATGCATCTCTTCTTTTTTACATACGGCCAATAAAGTAATTCTGGATATTCCACTTGCTGAATTACACTGGCTAGCAAGTAACGGCTCAGTTAATGCCATAGGATACCTTCAGCTGGTGAGAGATTTTTCCTTCATCCAAGCAGGAGCTCATGACCACAGTGCAGAATGCTGTGAGTACTATCCCCATTTTCTTCTGTCAACCCCTAAGTGCTGCATAAGTTCAGAAAAGGGGTCTTGGAGCTGCGTATTTGATAACAGATGCATTTTCCTCTTAACGACAAGCAGGACTTCAAGTTTTTAAAGGTTACATAACTAAAGGAAAGATGACATCAGCAGATCACTGATAAGCGCTAATAACAGAATTCTTAAATAAAATGTGCATTTTTAAAGAAACAAAAAACCCTTATACCAAGTTCCTGTGATGCTGTAGGGTGCAGCTCCATCTGGTGCCACGCTGACAAACAAACGCCGTTTACCCAAAACAAATATGCTAACCTCAAAGGTGGCAGATGCTGTCTGCCCTCGCGGCAGGTGGAAATCAGACAAAATCCAGATTGTACCACATCCATCCGTGGCATTTATTACCCAAACAGGAGACCAGCTGCCATCTGTTGAGGCCAACAGAAATTCAAACAAACGTTACAATGCTGAAGAATACTTTTGTTGTGTTCTAAATGGCTGCAATAACACGAAGCTGGTAGCAGTGATCAAAGAAGCATCAGCTCCTGGTTTTCTGTCGGGATTGCGTCTGTACGTGGTCAAGTGATGGTGGTTCCATACGGCACACACACAGCAGTGAGCAGCTCGTGCAATTCAGAGCTCGGCCACAGGAAGCTCTCACAACGCAAAAGACGGCAGAAACCTTCCGTCTCGGAGGCATCAAACAGCTCTGCAGACACACGGAGCTGTTATCACCCCTGTAACCTGGCATCGGTGGCTCTCAGCCCGATGGCAGCAGTTCTCCCCTTTTAAGTTTCATTTCACTGGCAGAAAGTCCCGCAGCCGAGCCGCCTTTTCCACACCCCCTGCACTGCACTGCAGAGCCCCTTGGTACCCTGCTCTCAGTGCTCAGCACACAAGCGCCGTGCTGGCCGGTGCTGCGGGTTTTGTTTCTCCCCACGATGCGGTGAGCGGTTATCCCGGTGAGGAATTACCGCGGTTTAACGCTGCTGTGCGGCTCATCCCCAACGCAAACAGCTCATTAGAGGCGGCTCAGGGCTCACCCCCGCGGGGCGCAGCCGAGCACCGTGCCCGCGTACCGGGGAAAGCGAAGCGCCAATCCCGCAGGCAAAGCTCGAGCACCGCGCGACCCACCCGACTGCACGCGCCGCCCGCCGGGAGCTGTAGTCATTGCTCCGCGCGGGGCGCGCTGGGAAGCGCAGAGTGGCGGGGGGCCGCGGGGCATGCCGGGAGTTGTAGTTCTGTGGAGGCCATGACTGAAGCCGGGGGGCGGGGCGGGCGCTCCCCCTCCACGTGACGGCGGCGGGGCGGTGGCGGCGGCGGCGGCGGGGCCGCGCGCGCCGGGGATGGAGGTCGAGCCCCGCGGGGGGCGCGCGGAGAGCAGGTGGGGGCGCGCGTGGGACGGAGCGGCGACACGCGGCGATCGCAGCGCGGACGGGACGCGTTGGGGGATCGGTGCGCGGGGAGACGGCGGCGGTGTGCGATTGTAGCTGGGCGAGGACACGCGTGGGGACGGGGACACGGGCTGGCGGCAGCCGCCAGGCTTCCGCCGTGCCGATGCCCACGCAGTTCGCCGGGCTCGGATTGCCGTGCCGCCCTCGATCGGGCTGCGGGCATCGCTTCAGCCTCTATACGAGTCCAAACGTCGGGCTCCTGCTGAGCGCACGTGGCCGTGACAGGTGGGAGCGGCGCTGCGGAGCGCCCCGAGTCCCCCGGGTCGGGTTGGGGCACGGCGCTGTGCGGGTAACAAATCCCGCGCCCGGGGGCGTTCCGATGTAATTCCCATTCGCTCCAGGCTTTTGCAGGTCTGTGGTTTGTGCTCGAGTCGGGAGCGCAGCACGGATGTCAGCCGACAGGTTCGCGGAAACCTGATCCGAGAGAGCGGCGTTCCTTATCTGACAGCCTCTGCGCCCGGGCTGCTCTGCCGGCGGGATCTGCAGGAGTGCAGCCGGTGCTTTTAGAGCCATAACGCAGGATCGGGCTGCCTGCTTGGGCAGCATGGTTTGCTAACCCTTACTGAGCCGGTGTTTCAGACCCTCAGGTGCAGAAAGGCTGGGTGGTAAAAGGCATGGAGCGGCTGTGTCTGCTTCGCTTCTTTCCAGAACCATCTCAGTGCTATTCTCAGGTCTGCAGGCACTGGTCCTGCACTGCCAGTCTGCATCGCTGTGCATTGTACGGGGTGGTGTGGTGCCACTGCTCCGGAGAAGAGGTGGCACCATCCATCCCCTCTGCTGCCTGCATACAGAGCTGTGTGTAATGGGTTTAGGTTTTAGGGGAAGGTTCTGGCAGGGGCCTGGTGTAGCTTCGTTGTCCTGTGTGCAAATGATGTAGCATCCTAATTCCCAGTGAGGTGCCCTAGATTGTGGTCCATTGGTTTCCCAGGCAGGGAGGGTGCTGTGGGGCAAGGGGAGCTCTGGGACTCCCCTTGCCCCTTGCCATTGCTGTAGATGAATCACACTAAGCCAGCATTTCTTTAATTTCTTTTCCCAGAAGCACCAAGCAGGCAGCAGAGCAGAAGGAAATTTGCTGCTTGTTGTCAGGGGAACCCGTGCATATAGCAGCATGCACACAGCCACAGGTACCTGCTGCCCTGGGAGCTGCAGGCTGTGTCCCTGGGAAATGTAGCAGAAGTCACCTGCTGTTGCCCACAAATGACCCCAGCACCCTCATTCCAAGCTCCTTAGTGTGCTAAGAAGGATCAGGCGATGCCTCCAGGTAGAGAGCAGCCATTGCTTGGTGCATCCTGCAGAGCATTGGGGTGCACTCAGCACACGTTGGTAAGAAGGATTCAGGTTTGGGGATGTCACCTACCACCATGATTCTGGTTTGTTGTTTCTTCTCTTTTAAATGAAACTTACCTGACTCAGTAGCGTTGTTCCCTGCACCTGCCCTGAGTCACCCCTGCTGATTTGGGCCAGGAGCTGTTCCTGCCCTAGCTAATGTGGAAGGACTGAGAAAGCCCTGGGAGCAAAAGCAGAATTTCCCGCAGAATTTCCCCATCATTTTCATCAGCAGTGCCATTAAGTGATTTCCAGCTGCAAGGCTCTATTCCTTCTTTTCTTACTGCAAAGCAAAAGTTTCGGTTTTGTTTGGAACAATTCCTGACCACAGATTGGTCTGACTGTATCTGGAGCAGAGCTGGTGTGGTATAGTAAGGAGAGGGAGTGCCCAGACCCACGGAGCTGGAGGTTGGAAGTGGGGGCTGAGTCAGAGGGTGTATGCAGGGAGGGAGAGAGATGTGCCTGCGGTCTCACTGATATCCGGTGTTATCAGGCTCTCATATAATGACCAATTCATTTTTCGGCATGTCCAGGGCAGAATTATCTTTTTTCCTGTATGAAGCGGTGCACCAGCACACCCTTCAGACTATAACCCCATTTACTGCAGCCACACCCCAGCCGTGGTTTCCCCGAGGAAATGCTGCTGCTCCTGTTGAGCTCGAGCTGTTTTTCCTCAGCATCTCCTTTGCAGTCCGATCACGTCCTGATTCTCGCCTGGAAAATATAAATCAGTGCATTCAAGCACATCCCTGACTCCAGCTGAAGTGCTTCGGGTGGTGCCCCATGTATTGAGCAGGCTGACCCCTGTCCTGCCAGCTCTCTTCCTTTCTTCCCAGCCCAGCATTTGGGGTACAGCGAGGAGCTATGCAAACACACTCAGCTGATCTGGATAGGGAAAGCAGGCTGTTCTAGGGCACAGGGAAAGCTGCACACATGTCCCTTGCAGGCAAGCGTCTGCTCATGTACTGTGACCTCTCCTGGGCATGTTGCTTGCTTTGTACTTCCTGGAAGAAGTATTTTCGTGCTGTGATTTGAATTTGCCTTACCCCTGTGTCAGGTCAGGATGAGTGAGGCTTTTTTAACAACAGCTTGCAAATGATTCTCCTTATTTGGTACAAAACCAAGCAGATTTCTCAGTGCTGCTCTGAACACCTGCTGAAATGGGGAACTGGAGGGCAGCTGGCACCCTGTCTTTTTCCATCCCTCCTGGCATCTCTGTGAATGAGAGAGGAGCAGATCCTGCCACAAATTAAGGGTTAACCTGTGAGTCCAGGCTGAGCTGAGGGCAGTTAGCTATGTGTTGCCTCGCTGTCACCTGCAGCCAGGTGTATGGCTCTTCTTTTATTTGGGCTTGTGTCACTGCATGCTTTCCTGCACGCACCGTGTTCCAGCCCAGAGGCAGCTGCATGGATACAGTCCTATGGGAATGGGTAGGGTCCTAAGCGTCCGACTTGTGAAATGCTTTTGAATCATTTGAGCCAATGATTCCCATCCAGTGGGAGTCTCTCTGTTGACTGAGGGATTTAATTGACTTTTGGGAGGTTCTGAATCATCTCTGCCAAGATGCTCTAATTTTGCTCACTGTTTCCTGCATGCTGGGTGCAGTGGCAGAGGCACTGTTACGATATTTTGTGTGAGGGTTCCTTTGTGTTGGAGTCCCCATTTCCCAACCTCTGGGGGGGGGGGCCACAGCTGCCCCTGCAGTGAGATGGGTCTTTGAGCACAAGGCTCTGCTACCCTGCATCCCTGTGCTCGTTGCATGCTTTTTATAGCACAAAATAACGAGGTGGGAGTTTCCCTGACTCACAGACCTGGAAAGTGAGCAGCGTGGCTGAGCTTTCACTTGCATTTCCACACTCTGAGTGTTGGAAAGACCTTGGGGAGGAGCTGGTGGAGCTCTGTGTCTGGCAGCTGCTCTCTGGCCAGGGACAGTGCCGCTGCTCAGAGCTTGGTGCAGGGGGGCAGGGCTGGAAAAGCCTCTTGGTTCAGATGAATGAGGTTTGCTCTGTCTCTTCAGGTCACATCTGCTCTAGGACGCTGCCTTTGGTTTAGTTCATTCTCTCCTGAGATAAACCTGCTTGCTGGGAATCTATGATTAAACTCTGATCTTTAGGCTGGTCTGAAAACAGCTGCCCTTGTCCAGGCACAAACCAGCATAAACCTGGGGGGCTTGGGGCAAACACATCTCCATTGTTGAGTTTTTCTCTGGATCTACTAACATTTAGCTGCTCGGTCTCATGCAATATAGAAACATCTCAATTTTGCAGTTCTCCAGCCTTTCACAGGCTGGCTGATTTGCTGGGAATTTCCTTCTGCCTTATTCCCCGTAACGGCATTTCCTCATGCTTCATTCTCTCTACCATTGGAGTGGCAGAGAGGATGGGGCTACAAACAGCAGAGGAAGATGTGGCATCGATTGCAGTGTACGGCTCTAGGAATTCCTGCAGTGCAGCTTTCACAGCCCTGCACTGGGCTTCCTCTCTTCTGGGCAGCGGTGGTGTTATCGAGCTGTGCGTGAGCACATTCCTGCTGATGTGTGCTCACAGTGTGTTCAGGCTTGCTGACGAATTGCAGCCTGGCTGCAGAGCTGCTGTGACAAGTGACAAGCTTTGCTGGCTGGCTGGGCTGCCTGGTGAGCTAAGCTTGGGTAAATGCTAAAGCCAGTGAGGTTTCCCTACAGAGACCTGATACAGGGGAGCTTGAGGCAGAGCCAGTATTTTATTATCTGCTCGTTCACTTAATCAGTTCTGAAATAATAAAGCACTCTCAAAATGGGAATATTTTCAAGAAAAGCTTATTTTTGAGTAGTGGGATTATACTGCTTGATAGCATGCTTCTTTGCGCTGCAAGAAGTTTACAGCCCACACTTTAAGCCACGAGGACAAAAAAGCAGTTTTTCCTTTTTTCTTATTTCTTTTTTTTTTTTTTTTTTTAATTTGCTTGTTTTGTTTATTTTGGCAATCTGGTTGATTTTGTGTGTGTAAAACACCGGAGTTTTCTCTTGCCAATGTAAAGGTTAAACTTTCGTTCTAAACCATTATCTCCAAAGCTTTTGTTAAAACCCTGCAGGAATGCACAATTTGGCATTTAAGGCCTGGTTGGATGGGCCCTGGGCAGCCTGAGCTGGTGGGGCTTGGGACTGGCTGGGCTTATATGTTCCTTTTGGCCCAAGCCATTCTGTGAGTTATGAATCTATGAAATGTACATTGGAGCCACCAAAGGTTTCGCTCTGACCAGAGCCTATGGAGTGAGCTTGGCCTGCTGTGAAGCTCCTTGTGCCCTGAATCTGGTGCTCATTAGGCAACCCTCTGTGTTCCTCTGCAGGAAAGAGCACTGGAAGCTGCTGGGCAACCTGAAGACCACAGTGGAAGGGTTGGTGTCCACCAGCAACCCCAACGTCTGGTCCAAGTATGGCGGCCTGGAGCGGCTCTGCAGGGACATGCACAGCATCCTGTACCATGGGCTCATCCACGACAAGGTAGGCCTCAGTCCCACTCACACCACGGTCCTGTGGCAGGAGCTGAGCTTGCCTCAGAAGTGCCTGTGTTCCTTCCATCAGGTGTTTTTGCTGAGGGGAGGCCTGCTCCTCCCTTGGCCGCACTGCATCCTGCAGCAAAGCAGCAGTGCTGTATGTGCCACAAGCCAACCTCCCGTGGTGTGTCCTTGGACAATGCCCCAGCGAGGCCTGGCAAGAGAAGCCGCAGGCCTTGGCTGGTTCTGGTTAGCTGTGTGAATAGTGGGGCTGGCAGCCGGATCTGTGCTCTGTGTGAAAGGGGCCTGTATCCAGCTTCCACCATTTTCATCCAGCTGTCCCCATCTCCATGACTGCTGGGAAGAATTTTTCTTTCCTGCTCTGGAGAGCTTCTGCAGACGCTGAAGATCTCCCCTCAGCTTGCAATTACAGCAGTTGTTTCTCAGTAAGAATTACATCAAGCCTGCAGGGCATGCCTTGGGCAGGTTCCCACCAGCTCCAACACTGCAGGCATCTCCAGGTGCAGAGGAGCCAGAAGGGCTGCACAGCTGGAGCCCAGGAGCTGTATGCGATGTATGCGATGGAAGAGTCCATCTCAGCTTTGCTACTTGGATCTGAGAGCTGCACGTAGCACTTGGTCAAGTCATGCCCTGTGCTGTCAGTCTGCAGTGGTGTGGGCCAGCAATCTCCTTTGAGCAGAGAGAGAAGTTACCCTTTAAACAGGAGGAGTACAGTGCTCTTTTCTGATAGACGTGCTATTTGGAGGCTTTGGAAGTGAGATTGGAATGATTTCTGCTTGTCTCTGTGTTAGTAACAGTTCATGCCACAGCTTGAGGAAATAGACACCTGCAAAATAGGGCAGCACAGTGCTGTTCCCGATGCTGTGTGCAAAGGCAGTTCTTTCTTACAAGTGCTTTGCCTATACATACCCTGTCTCTCTCTGTATATGTATGTCTATACATTTATACAGTGCTATGTACTCCATCTGTACTAGCTACAAAGGGAGGCCCATAGAAGTACAGCTTCCTAGCAGGATTTTTATTATATTTACTCCAGAGAAACTTCCTTTTAGTTATGTATTTTTGTATCAGCTTTTTTTGCTATGACTAGAAATAAATTAAAACAATAAAAAATCTGTATGTACATTGTAAGAGATTTTTTAACTATTGTATGAATTTTATTATTTTATCCAGAAAACCCCAATTGAATATGAAGGGACAAAATGTCTGTGTTGGTGCTTTGGTCTTAAAAATAGAAACAAGTAACCCCCCCAAACAAGTAAACCACAAAACAAAACCCCTTCCTCTGACACTTGTGAAAGAGGAAGCAGAGATGGAGGAAAAAAATCAGCTTTTTTTGAAAGAGAAACAGTTGGGGCTGTGCTTAAACATGATAAAGTGTTGAGGAAAACAATTCTTCTGCAGTTCCTCTTTGACTGGAAGAATAACTAAGAAGAAATAACTTACTGTCTGAACAGAGCCAAGGCAAACAGCAGTAAGGAGCTGATAGGAATGCAATGCCAAGAACGTGCTGCATCACATTTCTTATCTGTGGTGCTCAGCCATGCTGGTGTGTCCTTCTTGGTGACTGGCATGGGAGGACAGTGGTTGCTGTAGGTTCTGCTGGGATGTGTTTTGTGCTGCCTGCTGCTCCAGGTCCATCTCTGGCAGGAAGGGACCAGTGATGTGGGAACTCCTGACAGGTTCTGGATTGAACGCCGTCTCCTTGCTCTCTGAGCCAGCTGTACTGTCGTTGTTGTGTCACTCGAGGCTCGTGTGTATGGTGGGCCCTAACCAAGCCTGTCCCAGCAGGTGTACTGCAGGCAGAAGGATTACTGGCAGTTCGTGAAGGACATCCGCCGGCTGAGTCCCAGCTCTGCTCATCACCTGGAGAAGGTGAGTTCTGGTGGGTGCCTTGGTGTGCCCAGCCTGGGGGAGGAAGGCAGCTGGGCTGCGAACCCACTGGTGAGGGACGAACTAGCACTGTGGTTGTGTGTGAGCCACATCCCAGGAACTTGGTGTGGTTTAGGGTTAGACAGTCAGCTGCTAATTTCCCACAGGATGGCCTCCTTGGTTGGGTACAGCAGGCATCACCAAGGGAGTTGGCACAAGCAATGCTTCTGTGCACACAGTAGGGATTTATAGTTGTACAAATCTCCAGAGGTTTCATCTGTTCCATTTCTGGGTTGTATATTGGCCTTGACCATTCATTGGCTCTTCTGTGCCTAGCTTTTGCTGTTTGCTTATGCACAGGGATGCTTTCAGCCCTCAGTGCTCTGAGACCTGAAGGCACCACGCTGCTCTTTGTCACATGTGAGCAGATTTCATGCTTTCCATTGCAGTCTGCTGTAGAGCAGCAAGAATGTTCACATCAGTTAATGTGTCAGCAAGAACATGACTGTCACTGCAGGAAAGCAATTAGATTTGGGAGTGTGGGGTCCCTCCAGGTCAGGGGTAGGAGAACATGCCATTGAAATTCATATTGCTGGTGGCTGTGGGTAGGACTTTGGTCACCAATGCTGGCTGACCTTTGAAGTGTTGTTCCTCTCCGGTGCTTTTGTCTCCCTGTGCTGCCTTGGTGGCTGCTTGGATGTGACTGCATTCTCACCAACAGTGCCTGGTGCTGCAGAGCTGTGAGGAGGAACGACCCCTGCTCCTCTGCTTACTTCTTCTTGCCCTAACTTGTGCCTTCATGGTTCATTTCCAGTTCATCAGCCTGCATGAGAACAGCCAGCCCAGCCTGGACAGCCACAGTGACCAAGCTATTGCACAGCTGTGGCTGCAGCACAGCCTGCAGTTCCACTGCCTCTCAGCACAGCTCAGACCTCTCCTGGGGAACAGGCAGTACATAAGGAAGTTCTACACAGGCAAGTAGAAATGAGTCTTTTTCATCCTTGTATGAAAGCAGATTTTCCAACTCATGCTTGAGGGGAGCAGCAGAAAAGGAAGTTTGCATCTGTGCAATCTGTGCTGTCAGACAAAGCGTGCTGTGTCATACTGTATATGCATGGATGCAGGTCAGAAGAGCTGAGCTTTAGTTTTCTGCAGTGAGCTTGTCTGCAACATGCTTCGTCCTGCTTGTCTGTGTCCTCCTTGCTGCCCTAACAGGAGCTTGAGCAAGTCTGAATGCGTTGGATATTCTCATTTTCTTTCTCTTAGGAGATCGAGCTGTGGCAGCTTCTTTGCATGGGCTCAAAGGTTTCTGCTGCAGGTAGTCAAGCAGTCTGGTTTCAAGTCCATGTCCCAGTCTGCAAACTTGGAGAAATGCATTTCCCATTACAAAGAAATAAAATGTGCAAAGAAAGTCAATTTTGAATCTGTTTCAAACAGTGCTGTTTTTTTTTTCCCTTCCCCCGGAATATTTCTAAACAAAAAGATGAAGGTCTGACCTCTGCTGATGTGTGGAAATGCAGCTGTGCTTCTCCTTTGTAGGTGAAAATTGTAGTCCATTCGTGCACATTAGGAACTTTTGTGAAAACTTGAGAATTTGTCAGAAAGTAAAGATAAATAGCAAGGACAAAGATATCTAAACTGATCTGGGACAGGATCTTTCTTTAATCTTGTATTTTAGAGTACTGAAGAGAGAAGTTTTTCGATACCCCCCAAATTAAGACAAAACCTTGAACCAGATACAATAATTTGGAATGCAAATCTTTTGGCTCAGGTTTTAGCTGGGTGAGGAAAGCTCTCATCTCCTCCTCTTCATGTAGGTTTTTCCTAAAATTGCCAAGTTTTATATCCAGCACTTTGGTGGCTTTTCTCACAATTTTTTCCTTGCGGACTGCTGCAGGAAGAGCATCATATACCTCCTGCTACCCTCATGCTGGTGGCGGTGGGGAGAAAGCCCCCTGACAGTAATTCTCTCTCTGCAGACACAGCCTTCCTGCTCAGTGACGCCCATGTCACAGCCATGCTGCAGTGCCTGGAGGCTGTCGAGCAGAACAACCCCAGGCTGCTGGCTCAGATCGACACATCCATGGTGAGCTGAGACCCCTGGCTTCTGCATCTGGCCCTCCCTAAATGCTGTACGGCTGTGGCTGCTCATACAATATTGCATTCACAGCACACAGAACCCTTGGACAAGGGCCTGGACTTGGGAAATAGCAAAAGGAAGGGGTTGGAGGGATGGGAGGAAATGTCTGTAGTGAGGCACCTCGGTTCTGGCTGTCATCAAGAATCTGAATATGAGGCTCAGGAGCCATATCCTTTTAAGAGACACCTCTAAAGCCATCTCCAAAAGACCCAGGCTTCAGGGTCAGCCACACTCAGAGGGCTGGGCAGCACCCAGGACAGCCAGATTCCCCCTCCTGCTGGTGACGCCACCATCCCAGTGCCTCCCAGTGCCAGCTGCCCTCTCCTCATAGGAGAACAGCAGCTGCTTTCTTTGCAAAGAGCTCCCCAGAGGAGAGCAATTAATGATGCTTCATTAAATAGGGTCTGTGTTCTTTCAGCTGGCCGGCACATCACTGCCCTCCGTGTGCTCCTCAGGTCCCTCTGCTGGGACAGGAGAGATGTGTGACCACGATGCTGTAGGACAACAGAGCCGCCTGCCTGGGGCACTGGGCTGCCTAGATCATCTCGCTGAGAGCCTGGTAATTTCCAGATGGAGCTTGCTGCTTCGCTGTGCATAAAGAGCTGCTTCCCTTCTTTGCTGCAGCGTGTTTCTCCCATCCTGCAGCCCCAGGGCTGTGCTGGCTGGTAACCAGGTGCTTGTGCAGGCCCTGCAGGTCCAGTTTTTTCTGTCTCTTAAGCTGCTCCTTTGAGATGCTGATTTATTGATGCTTCCTCTCTTCAGCTTACCAGGAAGGGTGAAGGTCTGTCTTCGGTGACCAAGAGTCAGAGCCTGACTGCGCTCCCTGGGTCTTTCTATACCCTGTCTCCAGGCTGCATGCAGCAGCACCACTGTGGGTCCTTCTCTAGCCTGCCTCACCCGGCCTCCTCTGGGCTCTCAGGTAACCAGAGGTGCTAGAAGCTCAGGCTGGGCTCCTTGCTGGCTTAGGGGGTCGCACAGAGGATATGTGACATTCTCTTCTTCTCTCTGTCCAGACAGGAGACCAGCAAGCTCCTCCATCAGCTCAAGCTCCAGCCAACCCCAGGAACACTGCCTGGCCTCGCAGTCCTCCTTCTTCAGCGAGGGCAGGTCTCCTCTGGAGCAGCCCAGCGCTGTCCCTCCATCCCACATCCCCTCACCCAAAGACCCCTTCTCTCCAGCCAACGAGATGAGTTCCAGCACCACCAGCCAGAGTGAGGACACTTGGACAGGGAGTCAGGATGAATCACAAAGCGATGCTAACGATGGGCCGGAGTACCTGGCCATCGGGAACTTGGGGCGCCGTGGCCGGGCCTGCAGCACCAGCAGCACCAGCAGCAGTAAGAGCAGCAGCTCCAACATGTTCTCCTCTAGCAGCTCCCAGAAGCTGGACTCAGGGGATCGGGGGGCAAACGGATGTGGCAGCAGGGGCCTGGGCCTGTTGCGCCGGTCCAGCTTTTCAGAGGGACAGTCATCGGTGTCGCAGGGCGTCCTCAAGAGGAGCCACCTGCGCTCGCACTCTGACACCAACGTGGCTTCGGGGAAATTGCACGGTAATGGGGTTACTTTGCTTGGTGCGTGGGGTGGTTGTGGGGTGTGAGCACAGTGGTGGGACCGTGGCCAGGTGGGAGTCACCACTATTGGGATATTGGCTGTCCCTTCAACTCCGCGTGTCAGATGAGCAACGGGAGCAGTGGGCAAGCATTTGGAGGTTTGATTGTTACCCTCCATCTTTCTGCTCCACACTGGAGTGATGGGCTGACATCAGAATGCTGTGGGCCAGTCTAGTTTTGGTGTTAGCAGCTCTGCTGTGGCCTTCACTGGAAGCTTAGCAAATAGCAGAGATGCTGCAGAATTAGCTGTTCTCCTTTCCCTCTGGTCCTGTCCACTTGGGGGATAGAGCTATGGCAGACTTTGGAGCCTCTTGTCATGGTGCTGGTAACCTGCTGGGCTCTTCTGTGCTCTTGAGTGTGTGAATGCATGGTGGGAGGATTTGGGAGTGAAGGGACAACCATTTTGTGGGAGTCAGTCCTGCTGGTGCTGCCTACATGGGAGAAACAAAAGTTCTTGCTGCGTAGTAACCAGTCTGTCTCTGTTTTCTTTCCCTTAATGCTGCCCTCTTCCTCCTCTGTCTGTCCAGGAGGCCTCAGGGATATCACCATTATAATAGAAGATCCAGTGGCAGGTTTGGGAGCCAGCAAAACAGCCTCATTAGTGATCACTGCATTCAGTTCAGAATTTCCATCAACTCATTAATATCCATTTAGAAAGCAAACAAAATTTTTTTTCTCCCAGGAGCCCCAGGTGCTTTGAAGTGCCTCAGGTTTATGCATGTGGCCTGACTGAAGATCCCAGCCTGGTTTTTGGCAGCAGTGGTCCAGACCAAGGCTGGCACCCAGCTCTTCTGCATGGCGTTAGGAAGTGCTGACCAGCAAGTCCCTGAGCTTCTTCCCCCACCGTCTCCTCTCCCCCATTACTCTGGGAGCCAGAAGAGGTTGCCCCTGGTGGCCAAGGGCTGGTAGCCCTGAAGGCGTGGGCTTCAATGTGATATTTTTCATGGGGCAGATCTGCAGCAAGGGGCAGTTTGATGCTGATGGCCCTGGGTGCTGAGCAGTCCATGGCTGGGAAGGCTCCTCCTAGACTTGGCAAAAGCAGGGACAGATGTGCCTAGTCCTGTTCCTTGCTCTGGCTCCGGCTTCAGCAGGAGCTGCAGGGTGCTGCTTTCCAGCAGTAGGCTGTTTTTGGGCCTTCCCAGCCAAGTCAGCTGCTCTCTGGAGCCTTGCTGTCTGCAAAACTCTGGCAGTTGTTTGTCCCCAATGAGGCCAGCTCCTGGCGGTCCCCACCAGCTCTGCCTGGCAGTGTGCAGCCCTGCAGCATGTGTGGGGAGGTGGCCTTGATCACTGTGATCCTGGCTCTGGTATGCAGGAAACCTGGGTTTTCCTAGCTGAGCAAGAGTGTATCCTTCAGATGCCTCCTTCCACTCTTGTCCAGGCCACGAGCCTCACAGATCCCTTGGCTGCTTAGATGTCCCCATGTCTCGTGTCCCAGCCTTATGGGGTGATTCTTCCTTGGAACTGCTCCAGGAGGAAGATGAGGCTGTCAGAGGTGCTTGCAGGAACTATTGCATTTTCCAGATTTGCACGGCATAAAGAGAGGAAGGCTCAGGACTTGACTGATCCGTAATTGTCATGGCCTTTTTTTCTTTCCCTTTCACCCATCCCCTGCTGCCTGAAATGCCCCTCTAGTTTGTCTTCCCACTTGGGCTTGACTTCAGGCATGGCACAGAGCAGGTGAGACAAGTGGAGGATTTCCCGTGTTGATTCCCATCCATTTGTGCCCGCCCATATGAAGATGATCTCCTTTCATTTCACACCATGCTCTGGGCTGGGCACTCCTGGATTGCTGACATGTGCCTGGTGTTGTCTTGTTCCTTTGCAGAATCCCATTCAGATACAGGTGGAGGAAGAGGGATGGTCTCTGGTTCCACCCAGAGCAGCGAACTGAGCACGCCCAGCTCCCTCTACATGGAGTATGGTAAGTACAGTGAGCATCAGCGGGGATGTTTGCTCCTGGGCATGCACTGTAGCAGCCTCAGCTTCTGGCACCTGCTTGTGGGATGCAGGCATGCAGGAGATGGCTTGTAGTGAGCTGGTTGGGAACTGGAAAGGCTTGTTAGCTTGCAGATTGCACCCTGAAGGTCTGTCTGGCCTTCTGGGTGAATGAAGACTCGCTGCAGTGCTCACATGTGGGCTCTGCAGGAGCCTCTGTGGGTCCAGCAGCATCAATGCTGAGCAGCTCATTAAAAGTTTTTCCTTTTGGCATGGGTGTGTATCCACTCTGCTACCTACAGTATGCTAGAGCATGTCTGTTATTCATATTGTTTTGTTATTTGGCATATGCCTTCTCTTTCTTTTTATCCCGAATAACAAACACTGGCTACCTGAAGGCTGTTATGAGGGCCTGCCAGGAGTACTTTCGTGGTTGCTGTCTTAGCAGCTTTGCCCAGGATGTGTGGGGATGATGATTATTAATGATGTGCTGTGGTGGTGCCCTAGGGCTGCCTGAGGTCAAGGTCTCCTTGTGCTCCAGGGCAGAGCTGGCCCTAGTCATTGTTCCAAAATTACTGCTGCCTCCTGTCCAAGAGCCACAGAGAAGCAGGAGAACATCTGATAGCAGCCAGAACAGTCAAGTGATCTCCTGCTCCTTCCTGCTTAGGGTGGGATGTTCTGGAGGGCTGGATGGTTTCAGGATGCCTGCTGTCATTGTAATGGCCCTGTGTTGGTTGCTGTTCTCCATTACAGTGGATGAAGCTGGATCTAGTTCTGTCTGTAGAGTGGGATAAACAGCTGTTGGCTGTGTGAACTAACACAGAGCATGGGCTGTTACCCAGTGCTTGGAGCAGTGGATTTCCTGGTCCTTCCTTCATAATGTTGCTGTCTTGTTTTTCCAGACTCTGGCCAGTACCTGAGCTCGGGGGAAGGAATGTTCAGAAGACCCTCAGAAGGGCAGTCCCTCATCAGTTACCTCTCTGAGCAGGACTTTGGCAGCTGTGCAGATCTGGAAAAGGTGAGGGAGGCAGATTTCTCTCTGGAGAAATTTTACTGCAGATTCAGTGCTACCTTCCTCTGTGGGGGAGATAATCACATGCTATTTCCTGCTATAGAGCTGGGCATAGAACTTTCAAGTTGAGTTGCTCATTTATGGCTGGCTTCAAAGATTTGCCCATCTAGTGTTACATGCAGCAGCTTGGCTGCCTGTTGTGGCTCCTTACGGGCATGTGTTGACTCCCCAGCATGGAGATGTTGCACATCCACTTTGTAAGACTTGCCCTATGTTTTGCAACACTTCTGTTGCCTCAAAAGGCTTTGATTTCTAGGTTCTCATAGAAGAGTGAGATTTCATAGGGCCAGAAAGGTATAAGGTCTTTCTGCCACCTTTCTGGATGAAAATATTAAACCATATTTTACCAAGGCTTCCCAATTTTCCCTGTGCTACAGCCTCAAATACTTTTGCTTTTGCCTTGCAGGAGAATGCTCACTTTAGCATCTCAGAGTCACTGATTGCTGCTATCGAGCTGATGAAATGCAACATGATGAGCCGGCAGCTGGAGGAGGAAGAGGAAGACAGCGACAAGGAGATCCAGGAGCTCAAACAAAAGATTCGCATTAGGCGCCAGCAGATCCGCACCAAGCACATGTTCTCTAGCTGCCAGGAGATGGGCTCAGACAGTGGGTGATGTTTTTGTTCATTTCTAACAGGGTGGTGCAGAGATCTGTGAAACCCTGCCATATTACAGTGTAGCGGGGCCGATACCATATATGCGTAACACTCGTGCCCTGGTGACACTGAGTTAAGGAATGTGGTTTCATTTAGAAGCCACAGAACCTGTTTTCCATCCTTGCCATCCACCCTTCCCTGGTCACAGCTGGCTATCACTTTACCCCTTTGCTGTCCGTGCCCCGTTCAGCTGCTCGCACTGATGGCCTGGCTGTGTTGCCTTCCCTTTATCTCCCAGGCCTTGTGGCGACAGACAGTGAGTCCCAGTTCAGCTCCCATGGCTCCACGCGCCTGTCTGATTCGGGCTCTGCGGAGGATGTGGAGGAGTACGAGATCCGAGGTAAGAGGCAATGGCTGCATTAGCTTCTTGCACAGAGAGAGACTTCTCCTGGGCCTGGTTGCATTGAGCTCAGTCACACTAAATGAGAGCATGTCCCTTCAGCCTTCAGGATGGCTTTTCCCAAACAAATGGCTGAATGCTGAGCATGAACAGATCAACCAGTTTCTCTCATGTGGTGGCATGACTTTCCTTCAAAATCCTCTATAATTCTTTAGCATTCAGAACTGGCACATGGTTTCCATTTCACTTGCCAGGTCACAGAGCAGCTGTCACAGCCAGGGAGAGATGGGAGGGCTGCCACCCTGCTTTCTTCCTCCCCAAGCAGTAGGAGCAGACTTGTGTGTTGGGTGGGAGCAGCGGGTGCTGGTCAGCCCCTGACCTGTACTGCTCCTGGTCTCTGCTCCTGGCTGCTAGTGCGGCTGAGCCTGTTGCATGCAGGAGACCTGCCTTAGGTCCCTGGTCATCCCTTTCCTTCAAAGCCTCGTTTGTCCTCTGGGATGGATGGCTCATATCTCAGCAGTACCTCGTTCACGCTTTAGACTTTAGAGGTGAGATGAGAGAAGATGGAGCAATCTGGTCTCAGTTTATAAAGTTCTCAATCTTCTTGTCTGTGACTTGACAGCAAAGCCCCCATTTCAGTTCCTGAGAGCTAGATTTTGGACTTGGTTTTGAAGTCCCTTTAGGTGTGTGTGAATTTAGTTCTGGCTTCTCCCATGCGAGTGCTGCTTTTGTGTTATGCCCTTTCCCTTTGGTCTGGCCAAAGCACTGAAGTGAACTGTTTTGTCATCACCATATTATACAGATGGTAACGATGGATCTAACCTGATTCAAATGTCCAAGGACGGCCTCTCAGTGTCAATGGCTTCCTTGTTCTCAGGTAGTACCTGCAGTGCTCCCTTGGCACGCGTGCGTGTGTGTGCAAGGTGTGTGCGTGTGTGTGCCTTGCACGTGCACAGTTCTCAGCGTGCCCCCTCAGGGTGTTGCAGGGAGTGCAGAGGCCTCAATCTGTACAGGGTCATCAGGTATCGAGTTCATCAGTAGATCAGCTTCAGATCAGGCAACAAATCACTGAAATTTACTGTCAGGCCCTGACCTAAGTCTCCGGTGTGGGTATTTCAACTGTCCTTCCTCACAGCTCAGTGCACGTAAACCAGCTCCTCATGCTTTCTGATTTGGGAACAGTGACACAGTGTCATCCAAGTGTCAGCAAGAAGAGCTGTGGAAGGACGGTGCTTTGCTGGGAGCAAAGAGGAAGCAGAGGAGCTCTGCCTGGTCACCACCCCTCAGGGGATTTTTCCATGCAGCATTTTGAATACACAAAACATGCCTGCTGCTTGGAAAACCTGTCTAGCCTGGGGTGGGACTCAGGAAGGCAAAAGCATAGCGCTGTAATTCTGTAGCTGCTGGGCTCTGTGACAGCAGTCCTCTGCTGCAGCACCAGAGGCCCATCTCAGAGGTGCTGCCCTCTAACACGATGGCTCTGAATGGAGCTGCCCTGCTGAAAACAATTGCCTCTCTGATCACACACAAGACAAGGAGGGAACCACAAAGAAAGGAATCTTGCTCTTTGAATGACTCTACTGCCAGCTTTTGGCCACAAGGCAGAGCGAGCACAGGCCTGAAGCACTCTGAAGCTGTTGGTGCCTTGGGGAAGAGTCATCCTGCTTGATTCCACAGAGCTGGCGTGCAATGACTCTGATTCAAACTGTGGCCAGCCCTTCCCTTCCTGACCAGACCTGACTTGGGGAGGAATCCTTCTAGAAAGAGGTCTTTGAGGGAAAAGTAGTGAGAACAGCTGGAAAGAGGTGTTTCTTACCCACTGGAGGCCCTGGATGCTGTGATCATGTGCAGCCTGGTATTGCTTAGCTGCTGATCTCTTCTGTCAGCATTTGACATCAGTGTGCTGCTCCTGCTGGAGATGCTAGTGCTCAGAGCTTCCCGTCAATCCTGCTGTATCCTATGAATTCAATGCAGAGTTGGCTCATCCTGGCCCAAAGCTGGCAGCTCAGGGCTAGGTGACTTCCCTGCCTTTGTGTGCTGTTCACCAACCCCCTGGGGATTGTCCCACATGGTGAAAGCGTTAGCAGCGGAGACATTTGGGGCAGCTAAGTGGAGACTTTTGAGGAGTGTCTGCAATTAAGAGTGGGGAGGGAGTGATGATAGGATCCCAGCACCCAGGGGAGCCTAGGGCCAGGTTTGGATCCCTCTGCCCTCCCTGAGATGATAGCAGTGCTCTGCCCAAGATCTCCTCATAGTGCTTGGCCTGTCCTATACTGTGTGTGCTCCACTGTTTGCTTGAGTTTGTCGTACTCTAGGGTCATGCAAAGCCTTCTTGCACAGAACCAAAGGCCTCAGAGCATGGTAGATATATCTGCAGTGTATCTATGTGATTAGGAGGCTCATTTTGGCTGAGTTCCCTCTCTTCTGCAACAAGAAGTCTGTTTGCATGATGTAGGTGGGTGGATTCCTTAGCATCAGGATGCTTTCGTGTGTCAGTTACTAGCAATGGATGTCAAACACAGTGTTACATGTCCACATTGACCTCTGCTAGCATGAGTTTGTAAACTTAGTGAAGATCTATCGAGGCTCAACCTGGGCTCTTTGCATACCCTTCCCTTTCTGAAGCCAGGAGCAGCTGAAGAGTCATTTGCTTCAGGAGAGCACTTCTTCAGAACTTCTTGCTCCCTGTTCTGCTGGAGCAACCCCGTTCTTCCTAGCAAAGCTGACGGCTCGGGGCATTAGCTTTCTGCTGCAGAGCAAGCATGAGCTGGTGCCTGGACAGAATCTGAGTGGTCTGTGTCACTGACCTGCGTAGGTAGCAGAGCAGAGTGACTCCAGAGCCACACATGGGGGGGAGGTACCACTGGGATACTGCTGTGGTGCCCACATCCTGGCCCTGAGGAGGGATGTGGTAAAACCCAGGTCTATTCCAGAGATCTTGGATCTCTGCTTCCCAGAGAGAGCCTCATGGCTCTGTGCCTCTGCATAGGACTGACCCCTGCAGCTACATGGATGCTGACTCGTCTCTTGAGCGCAGAACTCAGGCTGCCAGTGCTGTGGTGCAACAGCTGACAAGCTGTGGCACAGCCACTTATCTTGAGTTGTATGATTCAATAGGGAGGAGGGTTTTGCGTCCCATTGCTAATGCCCTGCAGCACCTGTACTGTATAAAGAGCTACTAAACTTTCCAGCTAACCTTGCTGTTGTGCCCTCCTAGCTGCAGCTGTGTGCACTGTTACAGGCTGTGTAAACACTAGGACTTGGTGTGTGACCTGCACCACCTTCCACACCAAATCCTGGCTGTGTTTTTGCAGCATCCCACTGTGCCTTACCTTGTAACTCCCAATAGGTGATTAATTTGACTGCACCTCTCCTTGCTGCTCTGTATCACTGGTAGAAGCTGATGTTGTAGTTTCTGTGCTTTTAAACAGCTTGACGAGTTTTAAAATGAAGCTTCCGTTTGGAGTGAATGTATTCTTCAGCCCTGCCCAGTTTGCTCCATCATGTTTGTTTCTGATTCAGATGCAGACATCAAGAGGAACCCTGACTCCAGCAGGAAGCCCTTTCTCTCCTCAGACTCCATGTACGTATTCAACTTGCACTGAGACATCTTGGTACCCAGTTCCCTTTCCTGCCCAGCTCTACTTCCACGTGCTTCAGCTGCTGATTTGCACTGGACTGCACATCCCTCCCTCCATCCCTACATTTTCTTACCAGTGAGGCACAGCTGGGTCCTATTTTTGAATTTGGAAAGCAGCACCTGGGATGATAAAGATCATTCACATGCTATGTGGACATGAGATATGATGTGGCTGTGTCTGGGAAGATCCCCACAATTTCTAGTGGTAGGAGGCTGGGAAGAGGAGCTGGCATGACTTGGAGTATATGGCCTGCCTGGCTTCTGGTTTCTGCTGGCTCTGAGCTTCCCTTGCCTTTCTCTCTCATCTGGGACAGGTGTAAAGCTGTGTCCCTGCTTGAGCTGAGAATTAGCATCAGAGAATGGGGGAATGTGAAGCAGCACAGCTTTGAGACCCCTAGTACTAACTGCTTCCTTTGTTGGCTAGATCCCATTCATTCGGCAATTCAAACTCTGCAGAAGCTGTGGCCATGGGTTTGCTGAAGCAGTTTGAGGGCATGCAGCTGCCAGCTGCCTCCGAATTGGAATGGCTGGTCCCTGAACATGACGCCCCGCAGAAGGTAGGGGTGTGAGTATGTCTGTGTACAGGAGGGTGACAGTGACTGGGGTGGCACTACCAAGGTACATGGGCACTGCCTGGAGGTGCCAGCACAGGAGCAGGGCAGTACTGAGGCACGGTGATTGGAAAAGCATACAGTGCAGAGCTCTCACTGCTCTTTGGAAATCCCAGCTCACCGATTATTTGATCCTTTTCACACATTCCCTGGCTCCATGCCCACTGCCCAGGGCCTTTGCTAGTTCTGATGAAACTGGAGGAGAGAAGGATGGGTTTTGTCCAGGCCCTGCCGCTTGCTGTGCAGTGCCTTGGCTAACAGCCGAGAGGGCTGAGAGGACAGAGGCAGCAGTTTGGGAACAGCAGTGGCTCCCAAGCAAAAGTTGTGCTTGGGCACAACTGGGGCAAAATGCCCTAGAGCTGGGGCATAAGCAAGGCCTGCATGGCTGCTCACCCACTGCTCTTGCTAGGCATCTTGATTGCTTGTTTGCTGTTGGTTTTCAGGGCCTGAGATGGTCTCTAAAAAAGCTGTTTAGGCATCCTGGCTGGTATAAGAAAAGGCAGCTTTCCAAAAAACTCCTGCTGGTACGCTGGGAGTGGATGATGCTGGGAGTGTGCCTGGAGGGAACATGCATGGGCCACAGTGTGCACTAACTGCTCGACTGTCAACATGCCAAATGGTTCCTTTGTTGAGGCACCAGTGTTGGAAATGAGCTGTCATGGGGCTGTGGGGTCTGGGTCTTGTGGAGGAACCAGAAAGGAGTGAAAAACCTCACAAAGAACAGAAGGTATCCCCTAGTGGTGCTGACAGTTCCCTGGAAGGCACTCAGCCCAGCTGTGTGGCTTCTTCCTTGCCCCCTGCAGCATGTTCTCATAGGGTGTTGCTACCACATCTTCCTGGGCAGCAGTGCCTTGGCCTTTTCCTACTAATGTCTGCAGAGAACAAACTTGGCATCGTGGTGGGTTTACCTGTCTTGTGCTCAGCCCTCCCCCACTGGGTTCTTCACAGAGGCTGCTGTTTGGTCTCCTTGAAGTGCAGGTTGCTCTTTGATATGCAGTTGTTCTGGGGATCTGGGTGACATACGATCAGACTCCTTGAAGGCATCACATTCAGTACCAGGATCTTCATCTTGCACGGTGCCCAACTCTGCCAGGCTCTTCAGCTTGCCCATGCCCTGAAGGGCTGAAGCATCACACACCCCAGTGAGCTCGGAGTTAGGCTGTGCTTGGGAAGCATGAGGAGACCTGCCCAGGAAACTGGGCTGCTTGGAAATAGTGAAAGTTCCTGAAGAGCCCATGTGTAAATAGGGTGCAGCAGTGCTGGGCTCCGCTCCTGCAGCCTCACACAGCAGAGTGCTCAAACCCCTGGGGAAATCCCTTCTTCCAGCCCCTCTATTCAGCCACAACAGCCTGTTGTTGGGACAGGGCTAGGCAGTAGGTGCCAGGCACCAGCCAGGTGCATTGCCTGTGTAGTTCTAGACAGGGGTCTGATCCTTTTACTTGCCTCTCCCAGCTCCTGCCCATCCCCGACTCTCTGCCCGTCTCTCCTGATGACGGAGAACACGCTGACATCTACAAGCTGAGGATTCGGGTGCGTGGAAACCTGGAGTGGGCCCCCCCACGACCACAGATCATCTTCAACATTCACCCAGCCCCAACGTAAGAATTCATACAGTAGAGTGCTCTCTGGGTACCTGCCCTTTCCCCCCATTTTTCCCCATTGTTTGTTTTAGGTTTTTCCATGGTTGATTGTCTTTCCTACTTGGCTAGCAGGGCTTCTCTACTCTCAGCCTGCTAAATCCACATTGGCCATCTCCACGTGGTGCCTGTGCTTCCTATCTTTAGTGTGCAACAAGGCTTTCTTCCTCCACTTACCTGTCATCCACGCTTTCATTGCAAGGAATGTGGATGTGCATGTCCAGAGTTGTGTCAGCGCCTGCTGTCAGGTGCTGGGTGTCATCAGGCCTGGATTCACTTATGTCATCTTTTGTCTCTGGACAGGAGGAAGGTAGCTGTGGCCAAGCAGAATTACCGGTGTGCAGGCTGTGGCATCCGGACCGATCCTGGTGAGTGCTGAGCAATAGCTGGAAAGCAGGGAATAACCTGTGAGAGTGGGAAGATGCAGAGTGGGTGGATTGCAGCAGAGCTCAGCATGAGGTCATTGGGAAGATGGTATGCTCCTTCATGGTGTCATTTCTAAGGCCTTTGCCAGCTCTGCTCACATGTCAGCATACATGTGTTGAGGACCTGTAAATGGACAGTCTTTGCAACACTGACCTTCCTATCCTTTGGTAGCCTGGTGGGTCTGCAGTGTCTGTATCCACAAATTTGGGTCACAGCTTTTGTGCACTCCTCTAACAGCATGGATTGATGGGTGGGTTGTGGTCCTCAAAGAATTTTGCAGCCTGCAGCGTGCTTTCAAGCTCCAGTGTTGAGCAGTCTGTTGCTGGAGGAGGAGCTGGCAAGGCAGAACGCCTTCCTCGCTGGAAATGTTGATACACGGATGGGCAGAGCCTGCACCTCACCTGACTTCCCCCTTCCCCTGGGCTTGGCTAGATTACATCAAGCGACTGCGGTACTGTGAGTACCTGGGGAAGTATTTCTGCCAGTGCTGCCACGAGAACGCCCAGACAGTCATCCCCAGCCGCATCCTGCGCAAGTGGGACTTCAGCAAGTACTATGTGAGCAACTTCTCCAAAGACCTGCTGAGCAAGATCTGGAGCGACCCGCTCTTCAACGTGCAAGATATCAATCCTGCCCTGTACCGGAAGGTGAAGTCTCTCAACCAAGTGTGGGTAAGCCCCTTCCCTCACCTTCCTGGATGGGGCTTGCAGGGGGAGGGTGGCTGCCAGTTGTAAATCGTGCGCTGGAGAAGCTGAGGAGAAGCGGATATTTCAGTTTCTGAAGCTTAAAACCTCAGCGCTGTGGGTTTCCGTTCGTATCTTGTTTCCTGTGCAGTAGCACAGAATGGGAAGGTATTTCTGCTTGGTGTCCAGCTGGGCCTTGGTTTATTTCCTGGAGTGTGTGGTGACTGGTTGTGCTCGCTGTATCCAGCGTGGTGTAAACACTCCTGTACCAGGGGAACAGCAGCCTTTTCACCAATGCAGGAAATGGGGCAGACGTGTTTGGTTAAGGTCTGTGATCTGTTTACTGATCCCTTGTGTCCCTCCTTCCTCTCCAGCTGCTGCGAATCCAGCTCTTCCACATGAAGAACATGTTTAAGACCTGCCGGCTAGCTAAAGAGTGAGTCCTGGGGTGCGATGTTAAGCTGTTTGCTGTCCTGTATCTGACTCAGTAGAGTTCTTCTGCTCTGAGCTCCAGTTTTGCTGTCCTTGCAGTCTCCTGGACTCCTTCGATGCGGTGCCTGGCCACTTGACAGAGGATTTGCATCTCTACTCTCTAAGTGACCTCAGTGCCACCAAGAGGGGGGACCTGGTGCCTCGCTTGACAGAGCTCCTGAAGGCAGGCAGCCTGCACGTTGAGAAATGCATGGTAAGGCCTCTATAGCCACCTACTGCACAGCTCTGAAACACCCTTTGGGTAGGCTTTCTGTGTAAATAGCCAGTGGGAAGGCCTTTGACATGCAGAGCAATCACAGAATTAACTGATTACAAGCTTGCTGCTCTCACCTGTTCCACAGAACTGCTACCCAGCACATGCAGGATATTTCTTACCCTATTTTGACTTTATCCTTAACACGTTGATTCTGCCTTGCTATACTTCATGCTGGGGATGGACTGTCCCACATAGGTAGAGCAAGACACCGTGTCCTACTATCCAGCTCCAGGGAGATGAGGAGCGTCGAGCTTACTTTCTTCCTGGCCTTTTCTCCTAGCTGTGCCAAGCCAAAGGCTTCATCTGCGAGTTCTGCCAGAATGAAGGGGACATCATCTTCCCCTTTGAGCTCAACAAGTGCAAGACATGTGAAGGTGAGGTATGGGGAAAAACAGGAAGGGGGTCAGCAATGTCTGCTTCTTCATTTTTGAGTGGCTTTGTGCCAGTAAGAAGCGTGGAGCCAAACACAGGCAGCCAGATCACAGTGCTTCTATGAACAGCCTATGTCTGCACCACATGATAACAGCAGCAGATCAGTTGTTGTTTACAACAGTGTTTAAAATAATATTACAATGGTATTTGCTCATCCAGGGCAGGAGCCCTGCCCTGTAGTGAAGCGTGTGCTGCAGGGTCAAAGTTAAGACTACAGCAGTTTCAAGTTAGGTACTTTACAGCATGAGTTCTTGCTGCTTTCAGCAGTGCCAAACGCCTGCTTCTGGTGTTTGTCCTCCTGGACAAATCTGGAGCATTTCTCTGCAGGTGTGGAGAGCCAGGCAGCCTGTGCCAGCCTTCAGCTGCTCTCCTTTTCTTCCCCCAGAATGCAAAGCCTGCTACCACAAGTCCTGCTTCAAGTCCACGCGCTGCCCTCGCTGCGAGCGACTCCAAGCCCGAAGAGAGCTGCTGGCCAAGCAGAGCATGGAATCCTACATCTCAGACTATGAAGATGATGAGCTAGAGCAGCAGGAGGCAGCAACAGCCACCTAAGCACAGTGCAGCAGAGGAGCAGGCACCGGGTTTATTTACACCTTCATCACCAGAGACTGAACCAAGCATACTTACGGTGAGGAGGACTGGCAGGATACTCATCATACCTGGAGCAGTGTCAAAGGGATCTGCTTTCCCCTGTACAGCAGTGTTAGGGAAGGATTACCTTGTCATCCAGTCTGTTCCAGGTAATGGACGCCCTGGGATGCCTTGATGAGGGGAAAGGTGGTGGCCAGTCCTGTCTGCCCCGTAGGCAGAAAGTGAGTCTTTACCAGGCAATCACTTGTGAGCCTGTCTGCAGCCTTCTCCTTGTCCATCTACATCCCCTTCATCCTGGAGGAGTCCTCGGTGGGGTCAGCACTTTCTGCTCATCAGCTGGACACTGGAAGCTCTGGCCATCTGCTCCTGGGATAGGGAAGTCAGCTCTCCAAGTCCTCCCATTCTGCTTCTTGCTGCTAGTTTGTGTGTACATGGAAATATGGGAGGGCTTGAGGGGGGGGGGTTGATAGAACATTTAGCAGTTCCCTTTTTTAACATCTGAGTTGGAAACATTGCCAGTAAACCATTGCTCTCCCTCCAGAATCGGTACAGAGGAAGTAGCAATGATGTAAACAACTGTATGTCAGCCCTGCCTCCCCCCACACCATCCATGCTGAGTTGCTCCACCTCCCTCCACCCTAAAGGCATTGCAACGGGGGCAGCTGGGATGCACGGCTGTGTGAGGGGACTGCTACTGCTGGGCATGAAGCTGGAGGCAGCTCTGCATGGCAGGACACACAGTTAACGAGGCTTCAAACTTCGTAACCCCTTCATGCTGCTGCTCTGTCCTCCCTGAGGGCTGCCTCTTCCTGTAAAAGGGATATGGGACCTCCCCATGGCAGCAGCACCGGGGCCTGCCTTGCATGCAGCTGTCTTCTGCCTGTACCAGTCGGGATGTGTAAAGCCTCTTGGCTCAGTCCTCTGATCACCTCCCCCTAACCTCTATGTCCTGTTTTTTTTTTTTTTTTTTTTGTTTTTTTGTTTTTTGTTTTTTTTTTTGTTTTGTTTTTTTTTGTTTTTTTTTTTTTTTGTTTGTTTTTTGTTTTTTAAATTGGCTGGATTTGGTTTTATTTTTGTTTTTTAGATGTGGTTGTATGTATTTTTAACTGTTTGCTCCCCACCCCGAGGAGATGCTCATTTTAGGGAGCATACAATTTGTTTGGGACTTACCAGTTTAAAAACTCCAGAGCTTTCCTGCTCCTGGTTCCATCACCCCCTGACAGGGGCTGGGGAGTGCCAGGGGTTCCCTTTCCCATCAGCTCTGCTGCCCTTGGGAGAGGGGTCACCCAGTCCCTCTAGGGAACAGAGCAGGCTGCTCTCAGAAAGAGTGCACCTGAGAGAGGCCTGGCCCTGGAAATGCTGTAGCCAGGGATGCTTTATCCCATGGCATCAAGTCATCACAGGAGGGACACACACACCCAGCATTAGGGTGGATATTAGGAAAGATGGGGGGACCTGTGTACGTGCAAGGGTGGTGAAGGGCAGGGGGCAATATGCTGTGAGAAGGCTTTCAAGATGTGTCAAAGTATGGGGTAATGGAAGAGTTGGAAGGGCAAGGATGGGACTGGGAGAGGTGGCCGCAGGGTGACTCCAAGCCTTGCTGATAGGACAGCATCTCCTCCCTGTGCTGCAGCATCCTGCTACAACCAGCTCTAGGGGTCCCAGCCTGCAGCAGTTCCGTTCCCCACCTGTTCCTGAGTTCTTGCCTCCTCCCATCTATCCTCATTTTCCCCAGGAGAGCAGCTGCTCTCCTACCTGCCCTGCAGCTGGAAGCTCTGGAACTACCACAACTTGGTCTACCTTGCCAGCAGAAAGCATTGCCACTGTTCTTGCCTCTGGTCCGCACGCTGCCATCCAGCTCAGCAGGACGAGCTGGCCTCCCTCCTCCTGAGATCTGGCTCCGAGCAGCACAACTTCATCCACACCATTTTGTTTGAAGCACTTTAATGTCGTGGGGCACTGGCTGAGAGGTTGCCCACATCCCGTTCTAGAAGCACTGAGTGTATTTAGAGAAAAGCAAATGGATTTTGGTTTATTTGTGTTTTCTTCCCTCCATCTGAAAACAATGGGGACTTGAAACCTGGCTGAGGGCTCTGGAGCAAGGTGATGTCCAACACTAACATCCTGACGTGATGCTGGAGCTTGCCAAGGCCCCAAATGTTTCTAAGGGAGAACCACAAGCTGCCCCAGCATTTCACTGGAGCCCTCCCAATGGGACTGCTGCACAGTGTAGCAATGAAAATGCCGTCCCTAATAAACTAAGTTAATATGAGGTGGGGTTGTGTCCTGAACTTTTCTTTTTTTCCTTCTGGCAGGGAGCTCAGCTTCAGTGTGAGCAGGGACAAGGCAGCTGCATCCCTCACCGTGCAGCTGCCAACATAGAAGCTACAAACCATAAGCTTTACAACAAAGCCCTGAGGATTGCTGCTGTTGCAGCCAGCCCTCCACCACCACCCATAGCAAATCTGTATCAGTGCAAGCCAGCACCATGAAAAAAGCACATCTACCCGTGCAGGGAGCAGTGCTAACCAGTCAGGGTCCCTCACCCCTCCGCATCACAGTCACTTGCAGCGGGGGTAGCGGCTCTCAAACTGATCCACGTCAAACTTGCGCTTGCAGCCAGCATAGTTCATGTAGCGGATCTTCCCGAAGACATCCCGCTCCTTCCAGCCCTGGTCGTGGATGCCACAGATGGACCAAAGGCAGCCTGCCAAACATGGGGATGGAGCATCAGCTCTGCCCTGCGCCCACGGGCATCTGAGGGCCAGAGAGCAGGCCAGAGAGGGATTCTTTGCAGACCCCTCTCTATCATAGTATCATTTGAGTCAGAAGGGACCTTTAAAGGCCATCTTGTCCAACTCCCTGCACTGAATGGGGACACCTACAGCTCCATCGGCTGCTCAGAGCCCCATCCAACCTGACCTTGGGTGTCTCCAGGAAGGGGCACCCACCACCTCTCTGGGCAACCTGTCAGTTCTTCACTATCCTTATCATAAGAAGGTTTTTCCTTACATGCAATCTCTCATCCCCACGCTGTACTTGCCCATGCCCCCTCCCCAGCTTACCTACATAGCCGTTGGGGTCCATCCCATCCAGCTCATAGCGGTCGTTGAGGTAGATGGCAAACTGTAGGGCTTCCTCAGGGCTGCGGGTCCATTCCAGGATCTTCTTGGCCCAGTACATCCGCAGGAAGCCATGCATCTTGCCCTCCTGCACCATTTGGAGCTGCAGGGCAGGACACAACCACAGCAGTCAGCCCATGCCGGCTTGGCTCCAGCACAGACGCAGGTCTCAGAGGAGAGACCTCAAAACAAGGAGATGGAGGTCACTAACCTGAGCAGCGTTCCAGAGCGGGTCATGTGTGGCAGCCTGCTCCAGCTGGGGCAACTCGTAGAGAAAAGGCCGCTTGTCTTTGGCGTGGAGCTTCAGTGTGGTTTGTGCCCAGTCATAGGCGCCTGTGAGAGAGGTGAGGAGCAATGCTGAGCAAACTGCTCCCCTCCAGGTCCTGGGGGGGGCTCAAGAAACAGAGATGGGTCACAGAAGGACGTGGGTTAGTGGGCATGGTGGTGATGGGCTGATGGTTGATACAGTGATCTTAGAGGTCTTTTCCAACCTTAAGGGTTCTATGGCCCATCCTCTAGCAGGAACAGGGCATTGGGGTGACCACAATAGAGTATTAGCCCAACCTCAGCCTTGTCCATCAGCCCCACGGATGCTACCTTGCACGCTGTCGTAGTTCTCGTTGTAGTAGCAAAAGTTCTCTGCCAGCTCCCGCCGTACCACGGCCTCCTCCACAAAAGCATCCACCGACTCCTTGTAGGCACGTCGGTGCTTCTGCACCTCCAGGATGGCTCGCTGGGTGGACACCTGGCCTGGGGGCATGGGTATGACATGAGTTGGGCCTCCAGCCTGAGCCACCAGCACTTAGCCCTTAACTAATGGGATGGGGACGGCCCGGGACACTCACCGAAATGGAACCACGGAGAAAGGTTGCTGAGAGCTGCTTTGTTCGGGTCATTCCGCTGTGAGCCAAAGGACTTGAGCCGCTTGGTGATGAAGGACTGCAGCATGGCCAGCCCAGCAGCAGTGCCAGGGGTCGCCCATGCCACCTCTGGCACCGTGCGGTCCACCTGCAGGCTGGAGTAGCAGGCATCCCACGCAATGGGCTGCGAGCAAACCAGCAGCATGAGAGCTGAGCCGCAGCAACAGATGCTGCCCAGCCTTAACACACGTCCCCCACGTGCCAGCTAAGGGCTGTCCCCAGCTTGCAAGCCCCCAGCTCTCACCAGCTGTCTATTAAGCAGCCCAGCACAGCAAAGATCCACTGTGAAAATGGAGATAGAACCTCACACCCCCAGGGTCCCTCCATCTCCGCACCACTTGTGGGTGGTGTCCCCCTTCTAGGGCCACAAAGCCATGAGGCTACCCAGGATCAAGTGCATCTCTGCAGGTACCTCTGGGGGGTTGGGCGGTGGATGTGGGTGCTGAATAACAGGAGGGAACTCGGTGAGGAACTCTGGGAGCTGGCTGTGGATCTTGGCCCGGATGGTCCTGGCACTGTACTCCTGCTTGGGGGATGCGACCCAGCAGGGCACGATGTTGTGGCCATCCACCTGGGAAAGGAAGCTGGATGTGGTGATGTGAGCAGAAGCCAACGTTCCTAATGGCACAGTGCACACTGTGTTCTCCAACTGACCCAGGATGTGCATCCTCCAGAGGCACCCACCTGTGCAAAGGGCACATCTTCAGGCAATCGCTCCTTGACCTCCTGCACCCACTGCCGGGGGACACGGAGGGGACAGAAGTCTGTCACCAGCCCTCCCACGCCGTGCTCCACCACGAAGCTGGGCAGCACATCCTTGGGGCAGCCCAGCAGCAGGTGGAAGGGGATGTCCAGCTCCGCACACTCCTGCAATGAGAGGACAGGGCTTAAGGGCTGCTCCCAGCCGGCTCCATCCCACCTGCCCACTGCAGCGGCTGTACCTCGGCCACCTCCCGCAGCCCCCTCAGCATGAAGCCGTAGTGGCGGATGGTGGCATCCAGGAACTTGGGCACTAGGCAGAAACAGACGCGCAGAGGCAGCTCTTGCTTGAGGGCCAGGCGCTGGGCGTAGAGGAAAGCCCAGTTATCTGCAGGGCGAGAAAACGGGGAACACTTAATAGAAGTCCCCCAGAGCACACAGCACTGCGGGGCACGGGGCCGGCTCCTACCTTGCACCCGCTGGTCCCGGCACATCCAATAGAGGATGCACTCGGCACCTTCCTTCAGCTCGGAGCCCCGGGACACGAGCCGGGCCCGCTGCTTGTTGTAGCGGAAATCCCGCACCGACGGGGCTGCCCTGCGCCTGGCTTCCCGCACCGCGGCCTCCAGCGAGCCCACGGCCCCTGCATCCTCCTCCTCCCTCCCCACATCCCGCTCCTTTCTCCCCTTCCCACCGCTCCGCGGCATCCTCGGCCCCAAACAGAGCCCCCGAACCCCGGCCCGAACCCACGTGGCGGCGGCGGAGCGGGCGTTACACAACGCGGGGCGGGACCAGGGCAGAGAAATGGGCGTGATCTCTCCGCCCGGCCCCCACTCCTTCCCCGCCCCGCAGGCCTGGGGAAGCGGTTCCGCTCCTCGGCTCGGCCCGGGTGGAGCTGTGCTCTCAGCATCGCGCTACCCCCTCCGGCACCAACCCCGCGCACGACACAACCGCCCAGCGCAGGCTTTGCCCCCAGCCTAGGGAATGAGGAAACAACGCTCCGCTCCATCCCGCGGCCGCCGGCTGCGCGCACACCCAACGTTCCCCTCCTCTCGCGGCCCGGCCGCGGGGCAGGTGGCTGCCGGGCGTCGTGCCCATCGCTGGGAGTGCCGCGTTGGGTGGAAACCCCCTTCGGTGCCAACACCTGGGGAAACACAAGGACCCACCTGGGTACTGCTGGGCAAAGGCAACACGGAAACCGCGCAGCGCTGGGGTTGTGGGGAGCGCTTGGAGCGGTGCTGGCTGGAGGGTACTGAATCACTGAATCCTGCCCGGGTATTGGGTCCTGTCGGGACATGGCCGCACACAGAGCAGGGCTGTTCCTGTCCCTGCTGCTGAGCATCGCCGCGTTCGAGCTGGCGCTGGGTAAGGGATGTGGGAAACGCGTGGGGGCATCGCAGCGCAGGGCTGGGGGGCACTGAGCCACCTATAGGGTGGGAACCTCGGGGTCGTCGCCATCCATGCTGTCTCCCACGAGCCTGAGGCAGCTACCGGCCCTCAGCTGTCACGGAGCTTCTGTGACTTGCAGGTGCATCCTGCTGCTCACCCCTGACACACAAGCTGAGATTCTTTCCTCACTCCCCCCTCTTCCCCTGGGCCCCGCTCCCATTCTTTGTGCCCCGCGTTATCGGTTCCTGAACATCTGCACGCAGCTTTGTGTACGCTGCAGAGGAGCTCCCAACCCGACCCCGGGTAACCGGTTCCTGCGGCTCTTCCCGTCCGACGGGCGGCTCTGAGTGCCGCAGGGCTGGATGGAGGCGGTGGGACGGGGCCATCGCTGGCGCCAGGAGGGGGTCCTGCCCGGAGCTGTGCCCGCTTGTCGGCCTGGGGATGTGCTGTCCTCCCACACCGCTGATCCCCACGGATCTGGATCTGCTCAGGATGGGAATCCCCGCTGTTGGCTGCCCACGGCCGATGCACAGCGTGGGGTGCCTCGGTGCCAGCACACTGGCTGATGCCTCTGCCACCTCTCTGCAGGGACCACAGCAGTGGGTGTGACAGTGCCAAAATCCACAGAGCCCCCCGTGTCGCTGCTCAGCACCGCAGCCACCACTCCTCCCTCCAGCCCGGACACAGAAGCCCCCACCTCAGTGATGCCCAGCACACAGACAGATGCCTCCATGCTCAGCACTGTGACAACCCAGGTGACCACCACCTCAACTTCAACCTCCACAGCCATGACACGGACCTGGGCTGACACCACCACTGGTGCATCAGTAGAGACCAGCACAGCAACAGCTCCCACCATACCAGAACAGCCAAATTCTTCAGCTGAGTCCTCCACAGCCCTAGTGGGCATCACAACCACCTCCATCAGCAGCACAGTGCCTCCCAGGAGCACTCTCACTCCCAGCCAGACACTGGGGAGCACAGCTAGGACGAGCTCTGATATCTCCACCATAACTCTACAGACAGGTGCCTTCACACACAGCACTGCAACAACTCAGATGACCACCACCACTCCAAGCCCAGAACTCGTCTCCACCACCCCAAGCTCAACCTCCACAGCCATAGCAACCACATGGGCTGAGACCAGGTCTGGCACATCAGCAGGGACTAGCACAGCCCCAGCTTCAACCATTAATTTGGCAGCAGCTGAAACAACTACATTGCCTTCCTCCACCTCCAGCCCTCTGCCCCACACCTCAGTGGACACCACTCTTGGCACAAGTGCCATCAGCACACCCCTATGGACCAGCAGTGCCCCAGAACAGTCAGATTCTTCAACTGAGTCCTCCACAGCCCTGGTGGGCATCACAACCACCTCCATCAGCAGCACAGTGCCTCCCAGGAGCAATCTCACTCCCAGCCAGACACTGGGGAGCACAGCTAGGACCAGCTCTGATATCTCCACCATAACTCTACAGACAGGTGCCTTCACACACAGCACTGCAACAACCCAGATGACCACCACCACCACCACCACCACCCCCCCAAGCCCCCTCTCTACAATCACAGCATCCACCTGGGCTGAGATCACATCAGCAGGGACCAGCACAGTCCCAGCTCCCACCACACCAGCACACACAGCTGAGCCCTCCACAGCCCTGGTGACCACCAGCACCACCAGCACCACCAGCACCACCAGCACCACCAGCACCACCAGCACCACCAGCACCACCAGCACCACCAGCACCACCAGCACCACCAGCACCACCAGCACCACCAGCACCACCAGCACCTTCACTCCCAGCCCACCACTGGAGAACACAACTGAGAGCAGCCCCGCTTTGTCCACCCTGATTGCAGAGACATCCCCAACGAGCCCCAGTACCACCCCAGGTGAGTGCTGGGACACAAAGTAACAACACCCTACCCCTAAAGGACACCCACCTCCTGCCCCATGTGCCCTATATAAGGTGCAGCTGAGAGGTGTGGCCGCAGTGGGAGTGGTCTGGGGGCATGGCTTCGGGTGGGCATGTCAGCAGCACCCCAAGGACAACCCATCCACATGCCTGTGCCCCATCCAAGCAGCCGTCCCACCTGTCCTACCACCTACAGCCTGGTGACAGCCTGACGGTGAGAGCCCAGCACCCCTGGGTGCCTGCATTCTGCCCACGCCACTGGTGGTGCCTTCGTTATGCTGGCAGCCAGCCGTGTGCCTGCAGTGTGACAGCCCCAGCAGAGCGCCGTGCTCTGGCCGTGTCCCAGCACACCCGCAGGACGTTGTGTCCTGGCCCAGCGCCTTTGAGGGGCCTCATCCCTGACCCCAGCAAGAAGGAAGCAGCTCTGATTGCAGGCAGCGCTGGGCTGTGACACGTGCTGTGGAAGTGATGCTGCACGGACAGCCCAGGAGATGAGTCCTCAGCCCAGAGCACGCCCTTCCTGGCTCTGCCTCTTTGCACATACGGTGGACTGCTGTCTCTGAGGGCCTCAGGGTCGGCAGCCACCACATATCACCCTTTTCTCGGAGTATTAGGGAGTCCCAGGCTCTTCCAGGGCTTTTCCCATTGGAACTGCCCTTGCTCAGCACAAGTCTCTGGCTTCAGGGACTTTGCTTGTGGCCGTTCTGGGGCCACCGTGCAGCTGATGGCTGCCGGGCATTGTGCCCATCCCTGGGAGCACCCGTGCTGGGTGAGAGCCCTTCTGGCAGTGCCAGCACCTGGGCAATAAAGGGACGCCTCTGGATGCTCATCCTCTGCCAGGAGAAGGCAAAGCAGAAACCACAGTGCCGGGGCCGCGGGGAGCGCTCAGAGCGGTGCCCACCAGGAGGCATCGGCTCCTGCCTCCCTGGACATGGCTGCACGTAGGGGAGGGCTGCCCCTGTTCCTGCTGCTGAGCCTCGCTGGGTCAAAGCTGGCACTGGGTAAGGGCTGAGCGGGATGCATGGGGAGGAAGCGTCGCGGCCCAGGGATGTAGAACACTGTGGCTGCTGTGCCATGCACCGCAGGAGCAATGAGCTTGGCTTTATTTCTGCTGCTTGCATGCGGACCTTCTCCTCCGCTCCTCTTTGGGGCTGCCCGGAGCAGCAGCCCCCTGCTGTCATCTCTGCTAAACCTAATCCTGACGCACGAGCCAGGATTCACTTCTCTCTCCCTCTCCTCCCCTGGGCCCCGCTCCCATTTTTTGTGCCCCGCGTTATCGGTTCCTGAACATCTGCACGCAGCTTTGTGTACGCTGCAGAGGAGCTCCCAACCCGACCCCGGGTAACCGGTTCCTGCGGCTCTTCCCGTCCGACGGGCGGCTCTGAGTGCCGCAGGGCTGGATGGAGGCGGTGGGACGGGGCCATCGCTGGCGCCAGGAGGGGGTCCTGCCCGGAGCTGTGCCCGCTTGTCGGCCTGGGGATGTGCTGTCCTCCCACACCGCTGATCCCCACGGATCTGGATCTGCTCAGGATGGGGATCCCCGCTGTTGGCTGCCCACGGCCGATGCACAGCGTGGGGTGCCTCGGTGCCAGCACACTGGCTGAAGCCTCTGCCACCTCTCTGCAGGGACCACAGCAGTGGGTGTGACAGTGCCAAAATCCACAGAGCCCCCCGTGTCGCTGCTCAGCACCGCAGCCACCACTCCTCCCTCCAGCCCGGACACAGAAGCCCCCACCTCAGTGATGCCCAGCACCACCCAGGCAACCAGCAGTGCTGCCCCCACTTCAGCACACACAGCTGCACCACCTGAGCCCTCTACAACTGTGGTAGACACCACCACCATCTCCATCATCAGCACAGTGGTCCCCAGGAGCACCCCCAGTCCCAGCCCACCCTTGGGGAGCACCACTAGAACCAGCCCTGATGTCTCCACACTGACCACAGGAGCACCTCCAGACACCTCGACGGCACCACAGAACCCCAATGCCACCCCAGGTGAGTGCCACCCCCACCTGTAGCAGCACTCCATGACAGCAGCACTAACAAAGCATTGCTGTGCCCAGGCACGGAGCTCTCCCCCCCTGCCACCACCTCAGCACAGAGCCTGAATGGCACCACCAGTCCCTCTGCAGAGCTGTCACCAGCCTGCCCCAATGCCCCAAGCAATGCCAGTAAGTGCTATCTCCTGGGGACAGGTGGCAGGGCCGCATGTGCCCGGTGGGCATCATCATCTCCTCATTATTGTGGTGGCCACTGGGCTTCCTGATGGCCAGTGCAGGGGGGCCTGCATCCCCACTGCTTTCTCTGTGGAGGCATGGGGGGTTTGTGGGGTGTGATCCCGCTGCAGTGCAGGATGGATGGGGCACAACTAGAGCTGTGTCCCTTGCTCCCAGGTGCATCTCAGCTCTTCCTCTCCATGCATCTCATCACTCCTCTGGACATGGGGAACACCACGGTGCAGGAGCAGCTCCTGGCCAAGGTGAGCTGTGCCCTCAGCCCCTTCAAATGAATGGAGGATCCTCCTGGGGTCCTTTCCTCGGTGGGAGGGGGGGACAGGAGCCCCCTGTTCCGTGATGTCTGTGCTTGCTGTGTGCTGATGCTGTGCTCTGCCCCAGATCCACAAGGACCTGCAGACCGCCTTCCCACATGCCAGGGTCCTGCTGCAGTGGAGAGGGGAGAAGCTGATCTGAGCCCATCACCGGGGGATGCTGGGCAGGACTGAGCCATCCTGCACCTCCTGTCCTTGTCCCTCTGGGTAACCCGCACAGTCCCATCTGCTTCCCTGCAGCCCAGTACCCCTCTGTGCCCCGTTTTCTACCCCTTCCCACAGCCACTCTGCAGCCCCATAACACTGATAATAAAGAAGTAGCTCTACAGCCCCCCACCCTGCCCCATTATCACCATGCAGCAGTGGCCCTGCTGGAATTCAGGGTAAAGCAGGAGGCTCCATCAGCCCCCAACCCCCAACAAGCTGTGCATGCCATGGGGCCATGAAAATCCTGTGGGCTGAGCTCCTTCCCTGTTTTTTTCCAGTCCCTGGTTGAGGAGACGGCCGCACCGTCTGCCTCCCCTGCAGCAAAGTCATTTATTAACTGATTAATTAGCCAGATAAAATGAGAGCGAAGCAATTATTACTCTAAGCAAGTCACCTCGCAGGGAGATTAAAAGTGGAATAATGAGCAAAAATGTTTGTGTTGTTCATGGGGGAACAATCCCTTCCTGCAGCCCTGTCCTGCTGGCACCATATCCCACCTGGGAAAGGGACATCTGGGTCTGTGGGACCCAATCTGGGGACCATTCCCAGACACTGGTCACCCTGCAGCCAGGCAGAATGGGCAAAGACACTCTGGCGTCACATACATCCATTTGTCCACTGGGAAAGGCAGTGCACATCTCCTACACATCCAGGATTGCTCCCACGTGCTGTAGGGTGCTGCCTGTCTGGTATGATGGGAGGTTTTGGGGGTCCTATCGGGGGACATAGGGGTCTGTCAGGTCCTAAGGGGATCCTGGAGGTGGATATGGAGGTCATATGGAAGAATTATTGTGGTCTCTGGGGATTCTGGAGAGGGATATGAGGGTCCTATAGGTGACTATGAGGCTCTGTGAGGCCCTAGCATGGCTATGGGGTGTATCTGTAGGGTTTTAGGGGGGTCTTTTTGGGGCTATGGAGCCCTGTGCAGGTCTTGAGCAGTTGATACAAAGGTGCACCAGGGTGCAGAGTTGGGGAGCGGGATATTACTTGCTGGAAGGGTCCCCAGCCCCTTTGCTTTGTGGGGCAATGGGAACTCATCCTTGTGCTCTGCCCACGCCGTGGCATGGGGCCAGGAGCCCTCCCACGCTCAGTCCCACCGGGCCGATTCCACCGCCTGTTGAATCCATAAATTCAGACCCCGGGACGTGGCACGAGGCCAAGGCTGAGACACTGCAGCCAAAGTGCGTCACAAAAGGAGGAAAAGGTCCTGAAGTAGGATGAAAAGGGGATCGGGGCGCTCACAGTCCCCTGCTGGCATAGCCAGCGTGGCTGGGGGAGGAGATGCTGTGGGCTGGCCACGTCCCTCTGCCCCCATCCTGGGATGGAGACACAGATGTGATGGGATGTGAGCTGGAGACGTCCCTCGCAGCACGGGGCTCCTCCAACCATGAAAGCATTTCTCAGCCTCTGTGCTGCCACCCATTCCCACTCATCGGCATCATCCCTGGGAGCAGACCCCACTCTGGGCACCCAGCTGGACCCCCACCGTTGGGACACACCACCAGCCCCCGCTGACCTTGGTGTCCTCTCCAACCCCCCCTCCCTCCCTTCACCCCTCCTGTGGCAGTGCTGTTGCAGAGTGCCCGGCGCACCAAATGATCCAGAACCCGCGGGGTTGATGGATAACCCGGCCCTCCAGCGCTCTCCCTCTGCCCTTGCCGGCAGGAGATGCCGTAATCTCTGCAGGGCTGGAACAAGCAGCCCATTAATTCCAGGAAGGCCGATAAGGGCCACTGTGCCGGGCTGTGCCGGATGGTGCTGAGCCCCCGGGCAATGGGGTTCCCAGCAGTGCTGATCCCATACTCACATCCCAATAAGTCCCATGTATGGAGCCAGCATCTCCTCGGTGTGTGCAAGACACCCAACAGAAATGAGGTTCTTTCCATACATTTCTGCTGTCTGTGCTCTCTGCCCCAGTCCTTGTCTCCTGTGTCCATCCTGTGCTTCCATAACTGGGGATGAGGGATATCCTCGTGGGGGCCAGTGGCCGGCTGGGATCTGAGCTTTGGGCACAGCACGAGGACCAGTGCAAAGATCCTTCGTCGGGTGGGAGCAGGACCATCCTCAGTGCGAGGATGGGAATGGGAATGAGGATGGAGAGGGGATGGGGATGAGGATGGGGATGGGGATGGGGATGGAGATGAGGGTGGGGATAGGAATGGGGGTGGTTAAGGGATGAGGATGGGGGATATGAGGTTGGGGATAAGGTTGGGGATGAAGACATGGATTGGCATGGGACTGAGGATGAGGGTGAGGATAGCGATGAGGATAGGGATGACTGCCCCAGTTGCTGCATGCTGTGGATGCTGCAGCACAGGATGCCCTCTTATCCTCACCCTAATCTGTGCCATTCCCCCGGGCTGGAGAGCAAAGGGCAGAGAGGTCTTTTAGGGGGGCTCTGAATGGTTCCAATCCCTGGGCATAGTATGTGTGCCGAGAGAGAGCAGAGCATCAGCTGGGTCACCTCTTAGCAGGACCCATCGCCCGCCCTGCCCCTCTCCCCGCCTCACACAGCACTCCGGCTGTCGGCGTTCGTTGCGGGTGAGTGGAGCGGTGTGATTGACACGCGGTGTGCGGGCAGGGGGCAATGCGTGGGTTGGTGCTCCGGGTGTCGCTGGCCGTGCCACCGCATCCTGCTGAATGGAGGCTCCGGCGGCACAGCGTGTACCCGGCTGCTGCCTGACAACACTTCTAATGACGCTTTGCGAGAGCTGCCAGCGGGCATCGCTGCTTAAGGAGCGTTTAATCGATTCCCAGAGCGTGCGCTGGTGGGCGTTGTGCAATGCCGTTCACTGGGAATCCCCGGGTGGGGGGTGGGAATGGGGACTGTGGGGGAAAGGAGGGAGGAATGGGAGAAGGGCTGCCCATCGTCTGCTACCACACCTGGCATAGCCAGATTTGGGGGGTTCCCAGTGCTCCTCTGAGGTCACCTCATGGCTGTCCCAACCCTACCTCCCCTACTTTCAGACCTTCCTGTGGAAGCCACGAGCTGGGCAGGGTTTTGCATCCTTGCCCTGGGCACAGAAGGCCCAGCAGTTCTAGTTGATGGCTATAGGGTGATGCCACACACATCTGTCTGTAAGGGGCTGCTCCTGCATGGGGCACCCACAGCCCCCAGGAGAGGATGAAAGGAGGTGGGTGCTGAGCCCGTGTGGCCCTCGGCAGGGGAAAGCTGTGTGGGATGGGACTGGGGATGGGGATGTGGAGGGAGAGTGGCAGGGGAGGGAGGGGACCTGCCTCCTTCACCAGCCCCATAAATAGGAGGGACTTGGAGCAGGACCACACCTGTGGGACTCTGGCTGCAGGAGCTGCTCCGTGCTGCTCTCCCTTCCCTTCCAGCGCCTCAAAGTTCTGCCTGAGGCATGGGGACCAGGGAATGGATGCTTTCGACCTTCATGGGATGCTGCCTATGGATTCTGCATGGTATGTCCCATATTTTCCTGCTATTCTACCTATTAGGTATGGCTGGGAGATGCTTTTTTCCTTCTGGATATGTCAGAAACCTTTCTTAGTCCAATGCTTGAGGTCCTTTGCAGCCAAAGAGCTAAGAAAGTGTTGAAGGGGGCATGGTATTGCCCTGCACAAGGACACTGAAGGCTGTACTGAAGTACAGCAGAGCTTCCTCATCTCATCCTTCAGCCTTGATGCTGATGCTGCTGCAAATTCCTTTATTCACTGGAAGAGGAGAGAAAGGCAAGAAAGGGAAGGGGAAGAAGAAAGAGAAGAGGAAGAGGAGGAACCAGGGGGATGAAAGGGAAATTGGGAACCCCCGTAACATGGGCAGGAGACACTGAGATCCATGAACCATGCTGGCACGTGGTTGCTGGCACGCAGCATGCTGGGTGCTGGGGGCTGGCTGCCCGCAGGGAACCTGATGGACCGGAGCGCCAGGGCTGAGCGCCCAGTCTCACTTGCTGGGTGCTAATTAGGGCTCCCCTAATTACAGCCACCCAGAGCCAGGAGTCAGCAGATCCTCCAGCTCAGTCCCTCCACTGGTTGCACCGCTGTGCTAAAAATAAGCCTCGGTGGGATTTCACCAGGTGCTGCTGTCTGCCCTGATGGCTGTTGTGGTTGTACACACTCAGCTCCTGCAGCTCTGGCCCTGGGGACCTCCGGGGAGGGGGTGACCCACCAGTCCCACTGCTGTCATCCCCAGTGTAACCTTCCCACCCACCCTGTGTGCTCCCTCTTGCTGTCCCCAAGCCAAGGGACCACTGGTCCTGTCCTCACTGTAATGCTCTGCTCTGTGCTCCATGCAGGGCTGGGGACCACCACCGCTGTCCCTGTTACCACAGAGGGACCATTTGCTGCCACTCCATCACAGAGCGAGGCACCCACTGACCTGCTGCTGGGCACTGTGGGGACAAGAACTGTCAGTGACACCGTGATGGCTGAGAGCATCCTCGTGAGTCCCAGCGTGAGCCCATCCTTCCCCTCCTGGGCTGAGCCAGATTCAGTGACCGAGACCACTGGTTACAACTCTTCTCTGGGTGCAGAGAGAGGTGCAGAGCTGAGCACTGGGGAAGTGACACAGGCACCTACTGAAGTCCCTCAGGTTGGAACGGATGTGGCCACATCTCTTGATGCAACACAGAAAAACCAGAGTGGTTTGGCAGCTGCCACAGCTGCTGCCATTGTTGTCACCCCACAGCCCAACTTTACCCCCAGCACCAAGCACAACGTAACAGGGACCACCACTGCTGCATCCTCGGGGAGCACCCCTATCTTTGCAGATGTCCCAGCATCCACAATAACTGCAGGAGGTGGCTTGGAGTCCACAACTGATGCCATGTTCCTCCCCAGTGTCACCATTCCTACAGCTGCAGGGACACAGGCGCTGACGACCACCCCCCTGCACCCCCATGTCACTGCTCTGCCCCCAGATGCGGGAGCAGAGGTAGAAGGTGTCACCCTGCCTGAGGATAGCAAAGGGGATGGACGTGCCCTCTCATCAATCCCCAGCCCTGGTGCCAGTGGGTTTCTGCCAACACCGTGGACCAAGGTTGTGAGTGGAACTGTGGGTGACACCCCAGGGTGGGCAGCTTTGGAGTCTGGAGACGCAGCAAATGGTGTCTTCAGCACAGCTGATACATCACAACTGCCTCCAGAGAGTGTGGCAGCATTGGAAACAGCAGAAAACCCAGGGCAGAGCTCCCTTCTCACCAATCAGGCAGGACCAAGCCCTGCTAATTTGCTAGGACCTGGTGATGGGGACAAGCAGGGGGCCCCAACAGTGTTGCTACCTGGCCCTGGCTCAGCCCTGTCAGACAGTGAGGCACCTGCAGCACCTGGGGGGAGAGGGGACACAGCCACTCTGCTGCCAGGCACCGATGTGCAGAGTGATGCAGACGTCCCAGATGCAGGCACTAGCGTGCCCCTGTCCACAGGGGCTGTAAATCTAGCCAAAAGCTCCCAGCAGCCAGCCCCATGG